GCCGAATTGTGTGTGTAGGCTGTCGCGCGACACCATATGGCGTAAATGTAAATCCTATACTAAAAAAAAAGGCCTCAGTGTCCAGAGCGTTAAGGGGAAATCACGAAGAAATTAATTGCTTCACGTGTTTAGCCTCGATATTGGTGTGAGTAAAAAAAAAAAGAAAAATATCTCGGTAAAGCTCCTCGCGAATAGAATTTTGTTTATGATATAAATCGTTGGAATAATCGAGAAGCGGGGGGGGGGGGGGAAGGACTTATATCTAGACGAACGAAACTATGAACTCCACGAAAAAATCAAAGGAACTTAACGAAATTGATTTCTTCACGTGCTCTTCGTTATCTCGAAAACGTACCGTAATTAATTTCGATGCACCCCCATGGTAAATCGTATCTGACTCGTATCGGTCTCTAGCATCCTTTCATAATTCACGTCGTGCGTCGTAAAAGCCATTTGAATATGGATTACATGGCGATACGTAGATACGTTTTATATAACGCGATGCGATAGGTTATCGTTTCGTTAGAAACATTTTTTTTACGACGATATCCTAACCCTTTCTCCATGAACGTTATCTCGATCATCAAATTGCGTTTCGTAATGGTAACGAGTTTAAGAACCAACCATGGTAGAACTGAGTCGACGTTAAGTTTATTATTAACGTAATGTTTCGATTAGAAATTCGTTGTAATTTCGAATTTCATGGTAAAAAGAAAAAAAGAAAAAAAGAAAAAAAAACTAGAATTTTCAAAGAATATTATGTCATATGGGCGACGTCCTACACGATGTAACATAGTATTCGATGAATCGCAAAAGGTGCGAAATTTCTCGAGTCATGTACAAAAGGATTACAGGGAATACATACGTATATATACACGTGCAAATACGCATACACATACACACACACAGACACACACACACATACATACATATATATATATATATATATATATATATATAATAGAAAAATTTTGACGTAGAATTGAGCACGAAAAAGGAAATGTTTAATGATGCGTGTCGAAGTCGATCGTTCGCGACATTCACTTCGAACTCTTACGCGTCGTTGACTTCGCTTATTATTCAAACGGTATAGTTTCATTGAACCACCTATAAATTTTCAAGGTTGAATGCACTTTCTAATACAGAGAAGACGAGATCTGGATTCTCGAAGAATGTATCGCAATGAGAAACGTATTTGCAGGTTGTACAATTTTTTCGTTATCCTGCGAATATCGATTCGCTTTCGCTTTATTTATATTTATTTTTTATTTATCTAATTGTAAAAGCATAACTCCGAAATATGCTTTATATAGTTCTCTCATTTTCTCTCTCTCTCTCTCTCTCTCCCTCTTTCTCACACTTATTTACATCGTGTACATTGTTCTTCTTTTCCACCCTCTCGATTCGCCATATTCCTCCTCCCTTTCGGAACTTCGCTTTCCTCTTTTCTCTTTTCACCGATCTCTACCTTTTTTCATCAAACCCTTTTCTATCCTTTTCCACACTCTCCTTCTCCATATGTCTTCCCTATCCTTGTTTCTCTCTTTCTCTTTCTCTCTCTCTCTTTTTCTCTCTCTCTTTCTCATTTCAAAACACCCTTCAACTTTTTCTCCCTCCTTCTATACTTTGTTACCACCTTTCTACCTGTATTGTGCCCTATACTTTTATTCTTTTATTCCGTTGTAGCATGAAACATCCCTTTCCTCGTCAAATCTCTCTCCCCTTTTACTCTCATTCCATACCACTACAAACATAACTGACAAGATTTTCTCGAATGTTTACTTAGAAAACGAGTTCTCTCGATTTCGAGCAAGCGATTTAAAAAGATTTTTATAATAGAATATTCGTAGATATTTTACAAGCTCACACTTCTCTACTTTCGCATATCGATCCGATAACTCAAGCACTTTAAGATGCACATTGAAAAGAGAGAAAGAGAGAGAGAGAGAGAGAGAGAAAGAGAGAGAGAGAGAGAGAGACAAAGAGAGAGGAGAGAGAATGATTCGGAAAATCGAGGACTCACGCTCGGGATATTAACGACACGTGTTGCGTTCTTCACGCGGTGGCTCGCTTTTAAATATACATGTTGTTTTCTCGCCTTCCTGTCTCCTCCTTGGACAATCTAAACGAACAGCCTTTACAGCCTGAGTCACGAGATTCTCTCTAATCTTTTGCAAACGATAAATTGTCCGTCAATATCAACGAGATCAGATGCTATCGGTATTATCTGTTAGAGAAGGGTGGTAGACAGCCACGGAAATCAGTACCTCAACCCCGCCCTTAAGGGCTTTGCGCCGTTATAAATGCGGTTTTGTGTCTACGTTTACAGGACAAAGTAATGGGCTTAGATAATCCTGATTTAATAAATCGAACAGTTGTGAGGCAACAGCGCGGGGACGTCGTCCCTTCGTCCGCCTCCGCTTACGGCAACGTGTGCGTGACTAATGCGTTCAAAAACAAGATGGATGATCCATTGGGAAGACCTTTTTTGCATTTACATTTTGACACGATGATATCTTTCGCAACAAGAGGATTTAACATTCTTGTGAACCACTATCTATAGGATTTAATACTTCTTACTACATTCGACTACAGAGAAAACTTGCTAAATATTCACGTTTAAAACTTGCAAACTTTCATTCGCTTATTCTCGTCATCGTTAACCAATGAAATATACAATTCTTTTTATCAATTTTATTTAACATCCTCCTTACTATTCTCAATGTTTTGTAATAAAATAAATCGTAAAAATTTATACGATATTATTAACATTTATTCGTTGAAAAATATTCACTTATGTTGATCATAACAGAATGTTGCTCGATGACTGAATTTCGAGAGAAGGTACAATATGATATTATATATACACGAGGAAGAGTCTAATACGTTAAATCTGTCATTGTCATTCACCCTCATTTGACTCGTAGATCCTCGAATGGGTCAAAAGCTTGCGGCTATGCGACTTACACGAGGTTTCGCTCTCTCAAAAGGGGATGCTGTTCGGGGGAACGAAGGTAAAAAGATAGAAGGAGAGAGAAAGGAAGAGAAAGAAAGAGAGAGAGAGAGAGAGAGAGAGAGAGAGAGAAAGAGAAAAGTTGATATATTATATTACGCATAGAACTCGCTTCACGGACGGTCCAACGTGCTTCGTTCATTCTTCGTCTTAACTAAACATATGAATGAGTTCTTTGCTCTTTGTAAAAAGACATTCCTGCGTAATGACGCGCCAGCATGACAATAAAGTAACGATTAATGATACTGCAATGTACCTGCATGAACGAGTGATCTTTCTCTTAGATAAACAACGTTGCAATGGCTTTTCTTGAAACGATAAAAAAATAGAAAATGGACGAACCTTATAAAATTGAAAAATTCGATAAGAATCTCATCGAACAACGAACGTTACGCGTTCGGACTTCATTACGATAAATATTTTCTCGTTGCACGTGCTGCTTCATACTACCCCAATGTCGTGTCACTTGTCCTTTCGATTTTATTCTTCGACCCCTAGCGTGAAACCGTTACCCTTCGTATTACCAAAGAGAGAAAAAGAGAGAGAGAGAGAGAGAGGGAGTGACTTTTAGTATTTAACACGATATCGTTTCAGTGAAGGGCTATAATTTGATTTCCTATCAGTTTCGAGATCTAATTGAACGAAAATCTTAAGTGTCGACGATGCCCCTTTGCAAAAAAGAGAGAAAGATACATACATATATATATATATGTGTGTGTGTATATATAATATATTATATAGTAAATATATTATATTAACAATAATTGCTTTCTTTTTCGAAAGGTATCGTAAAAATAAATAGCTAGATGCGTAAGAGAAGAAAAAGGATCGAGTTAGAAATTAGAAATTTTTCGCGGGCGAAGAACTTTTTTTACACTCACCTTCGTAGGATCAATCCCTGCCAACTGTCTATCCTTTCTTCCTCCTTCTCCTTCTACTTCTTCTCTATCTCTTTCTTCTCTACGTTATCTTAATTTCTCGAGTGTTTTAATTTTCATCCGAACAGCTATTAACTTTTACGGTGGGCCGTTTACTTTTTAATTCGTTTACCGCTTCCTGCAGGCAGGCAGGCAGGCAGGCAGGCAGGCAGGCAAGCAAGCAAGCAAGCAAGCAAGCAGGCAGGCAGACAGGCAGGAAGGAAGGAAGAAAGGCAAGCAGGAAAGCAGGCAGGATGCGCTTATATCTTTAATTTAAGCTCTCGACTTGGCGGCCATTGAACAAGCGTGCGGATTGGCGGGTGGTGGCATAGGAGGAAGAGGGTGATGTTGGTGGTAGTGGTGGTAGAAGTGATGGTGGTGGAAGAAGAGGATGAGGAGGAGTTTAGTGGGGTTCTACGCCGCGCTGCCATGGATCGGGGGTGGTTTGTGGGTGCAATCGCTACGGTGCTACCTCCCCGTTGCTCCCCTGACACCCGTTACGTTAATTAAATACATTGTTGCGGGGACAGAGACTCCTACTATGTATTTCGAGCTTTATAGGTGCAGAGGGGCACCTTAAGTTAGCAGCGCTTCCGGCGAGCCCATTCCTGGAATTTTCCCTGATATCTTCTGTTCTCTTTCTCTCTCTCTCTCTCTCTCCCTTTCTCTCTTATTTTTAAATACTATCATTATGATCGTCCACTTAAGTCTAACTCAGCACTAATTACTCTTAGCAATATAAACCGCTTATTTGTTTTTTTCTCTTCTTCCTTACTTTCAAGATCAAGCGATTTTGTTTTCAGCTCGATTCGCCATTCATTTTCTCGAGGATCATCTCACCTACGTGTAACTACTTTTTTACGATCGTTTTACTATCCTTCGGGTTATTGCCTTTCGAATTCGTTCACCAAATTCTTAGGGTAGCCTTGTTGAGAGTATAGCACTTATACTCGAATGATTCCCCGATGAAATATAAATCTTAAGAAAATATTAACTTGATATCTTAGGAAATATCACGCGAATATCGTCATATCACGTGAATCTAATACGAGTACATGTCTACGTTTCAGGTATGGTTTCAAAACAGAAGGACAAAGTGGCGGAAGAAGAACGCCGCGGAAATGGCGACGGCGAAGAGACGTCAAGAAGAGGTTGAGGGTATAGTGGCGGAGGGTGAGGACGGTTGCAGCGACGCCGAAGCTGATGGTAGTAGCGAGACGGCCGCAAAGAGGCTGAGGAGGGAACTCGAGCAGCAGTACAGGCATTGAAAGATGCGAGAAAGAAGAGGAAGAGAAAAATGGCGGTGATGGGAGAAGAAGAGGAGGAGAGGCGTGGCTATGCGAAGATAAGAAAGGAAGAGAGAGAGAAAAAAAGAGAGAGAGAGAGAGAGAGAGAAAGAGAGAGAGAGAAAGAACTGATATCTTTGATGCGAACGAATGAGAAAAAGAGAGGAGAAAAGAAAATCCTTTTTCACGGATTTACTCGCTCCTGGAGAGATGTAACGAGAGCTTTGCTAATATACATATACGTACATATGTGTGCGACTGTGTGTGTATATGTGTGTGCGCGCGCGCGCGTGTGTCTGTGTGCGTCTGTGTGTACATGAATGTGTTCAAATACCTTCTCTCTATTCTTCCTTCTTCGTCCTCGAGGTGCTTCGTTGTTTGCTAGCGTGACTGAATTACGAGATTTCAACAGACGACAGAAAGAATCGATGCTCCGTGGAAAGGCAAGAGAATATTTTCTTCGGAGATCTCAGGAATGGTCCAATCAAGTCCAGCAAAAATATCGAACGTGTAATTCTTTGATTATTTCTTTCTTTTTTTTTCTTCTTTTTTTATGATTAAGTTGCTACGTTAGACCCGTCGGAAATAAAAAGAAAAAAAAAAAAAAAAAAAAAAGAAACAGGAAGAATCATTCGGAAGAATTCGATAGACAATTTTATCGGTGATACTTTTAAATTGTACTTATTTAAATAACACGATATAATCAATTTATCTAATAGCAAGAGAGAAGAGAATAGTGCATCTACCTCGAGAATCGACTTGACATTACACATCCTTGTAAAAAATCAACGAATTATCGATCAATATTTTGATCAATTGCGCTTAATATAGGTATAGAATGAATCACGGTAACACGGATCTCGCGAAGAAAGCATAAACTTTCTATAAATAGCACCAATGCGAAATGAAAAGATGAAACGGATAAGTGAACGTATCGTAACGAGATCAACGCCAGTGGAGTTTGGCCAAGAATGAGACTTTTGTATATTTCTGTAGATACGATAAACGTGAATGTGATATTTAACGTATTTAATACGACTTCGGTATACATAGTTAGGTGGGTAGGTATTATTAATTAGTGATTAAACGATAAGATCAAATTAAGAGAGAAAGAGAGAGAAAGAGAGAGAAAGAGAGAAAGAAAGAGAGATAATGTCACACGTAGTGTGCATCTGAAGATATGTAGAGAGAGAGAGAAAGAGAGGGAGAGGGAGAAAGAGAGAGAGAGAGAGAGAGAGAGAGAGAGAGAGAAAGAGAGAGAGAGAGAGAGAGAGAGGGAGAGACGATGGGAAATAAATGAAAAATATATATGTATACATAAACTGCATCCGCTGCAATAACGAAAGCGATACAATTTCAACATCCTAGTCTAAGTTTACGGCTATCGATTATTTAACAATTACTGTACAGTATTAGATAAATTATTGTTAATTAACGGTAGAGACAATCTGTATAAAATGAGAAGAAGGGGAAAGCATTGTATAAATTATACATACGTGTTATCTACCGCTTGTGTATTATATCTCCAATTTAATAAATGGCCTATACATTATGATAATTGTACTATCGTATCGCGTATCTCTGGCAGCATTAGCCTTTCTACCTCTGTTTGTATCGCATAAAGTTAACACGATCTATCATTAAGCATACGCGTCGTGTGCCTCCTGTATGCAATTATTTGTCGATCAACAAAATACAGCTTCTTAATCGTCTATCTTGTATACGTGTATCTGTTGTTTTCATAAAACAGCCGTGACCTCTTTAAACCAATCTCCAATGATTCAGGATGATTACGAAAGTTTTCTTTTTCTTTTTTCTTTCTCGTTTCTTTTCTTTTCTTTTTTTTTTCTTTTTTTTTTTTTTTTTTTTCTTCAAATAATTTATTCATTAACTTTCTTCGTTTTATTTTAATAATTCATATTTGGCACGTTTATGTAATCGAGGCTTCGATATAAAAAAAATTAAGGTAAGTTAAGAAGGCAATATAACAGATTTAGATCTAATATAGATCCAAAATCCGTATCTTCCCTTTATTATCACGTCATTCTTATAAATCCATCTCGATGGAAACGAGGAATGTCATTCTCATTCTGTGAGTACTCGGATCTTGGATATGGAGAAGGCACGATATCGTCCCGCAATTAAATTTGAAATAATTTCAGCCAGTCTGGAGACGATATAAAGTGAAAAGGAATAGCTCGTAAACAGAGAGTAGACATTTTTACGAGCGTTATTGATTTCGGATAACTAAAGATGATTAATGTTACGAGAGTTTCTACGACTCGTAAAGTTAGCATACATAGGTGGGTGGGGATATTCCGATCCTTAGATTTGCTTTCTCTCTTTCTCCCTCTTTTTTTCCTCTTGTCTCTTTCTCTTTTTTTCTCTCTCTCTCTTTCTCATTCTCTCTTTGTCTGTCTATCTCCCTCTCTCTTTTTCTCCCTTATAGTCATTTCATTTCATTACGATCGCCTTCGATGGAAAATCTAGAGCATTGATTCCGTGAATTTATTATTGTGTTAAGCCGTTAATATTTGCACTCATGGACTTTAAATCAATGGAAAATATTCTAATTGAAATATGAAAAAAGTTAGCACGGTCAGATGTGACGAAGGAGGGTGCCAAGAAAAGGGAGCACAAACTGGCAATTACGTTTCTGTCTCCTGTATTAAAGGATAAAATATAAATTGTCTTAACGAGAGTTATGCAAAGAAGAATGATAAAAAGTTTTTGATTAAGATATTTTCAAGGGATCTATACTGTAGTACACGTTAGCAACGTTATTAACGGTATTGCCCACTTTTATTGCCTTACTAAATACTAAGTCTTTTGATATTTTTCTTATTTTAAATTAAAATGTTAAATGAAAAACGAGACTCTTAATTATAAACAAAATGATACATATGTAAGTGATCAAAGAAAAATGCAAACGTCATATGTCTGATCTTTCGTTCATTCACCATAATACATGTATAATTCAATCTAGTAATTGTATATTTCCAAGAAAATTATTCTTCATAATAATACATAATCCTACTAGAAACTAAATATTATTTAGTTGTACCATATTTTAATATTATTTTAACGATTATTTACTTTTAATCATTATATACATTGCTGCAAAATAATACTATATTAAGTCGTTATATATTTTCTAAATATAAATGGAATAGTATATAACATTTATCATTAAAGAAAATAGGCAAATTATATATATAATTATAGCTATACATTATTTTTAATGCAAAAGTAAAAAAACATCTAATTATAATATTCCTTCTTGAATCTAGCACTATAGCACTATACATATATATATATAAAATTTTTATTCGAAAACACAATTTTCATTTTTTCCATATATTTGCTATATTTCATCGAGGCATTAACATTTTTATCGTCATTGATTAATTTTTTTGTCTTAATACTTGCATATTAATTCAAAAATATAATATAATCTAAAATAAATGATAATACAATGATTATTAATTTATAATATACAGATACTATAATATTCTTCAATCATTTTTTGTTTAAATCGAGCGTAACAAAATTAATTTATCTCCTTTTCATGATTAAACATAGTACAAGCTACAAAAACAGATTCATGTTTTCCTAAATATGTAACAATACAAAGATTCATTGCGACACGATCTCGCATTCTTTGATGTATACTTATCACAATATAAAATAGTTATAATATATATCTTCACTATTTATTTACATATTTATAAGAACTCCAGCACCAGTAAAGCTTTTTATATTTTTGCAAAATGATATAAGCTTATTTGCAATGATCTTCTTGTAAATATACAAAATTTAATTTGTTTTATAATTTATAATAGAAAATAAAGATTTACATAGCCAAAAGACATTTTTTTCTGAAATAAAAAAAAACAAAAAGCAAAATTTTTTGTACAATAAATTTTATATCCTTGTACTAAATATATGTATTTGATAAAGATGTATAAAAAAGTAGATAGGCACTATTATTCTGAGATTTTACTTGACTTGGTGATACTTCTGTCACAGTTTGATCATCGTATTTATACCATCTAGAAAAAAAAACACATAATCATAATCTTTAACATATTTAATACAAAGAATATATTGAGTTTTTAAACTTACTTATTTTGGACACTATTTTTGCAAAATGCAGTATAATGACCACCTTCCATTGTTCCATAATGATTAGACATAGCATATAAATTATAAGTACAAAAACGTGCATTGTTCATAGGTGCATCATGGTCTATAATAAGATATGGTTTTAAATTAAATTCTTTCAAAGGAAAATCAACCGTAGTATTTCTTTTCTCAAGCCATCCACCACTTTCCGCAAAACGATTTAAATGTATTACAATGATAGGTGCAAGTTTTATAAAGTCAAACTTTTTTGTTGCTTCACGTGGTGCTTGACATTTAGGACACTTCCATCCAACTACTTTTTGTCCTGTTACAAATCTTTGTATACAATCCTATAAATATAGTTAGATAAAATTAGGTGATACATTAGAACAATATCTAATATAAAATCTCATTAAGAAATTAAGTATTTTTTTTTTGCTATATTTTAAACTTACATCCAGTGTACATCTATTTGTATGTGGCAATGACATAGTCAAACTATTAAAAGTTTCATATGTTGTGCTATCTTTTTGGCATGAACTACAAGTAATAGTTGACCTTAATTGTCCAAAAAATAATTCAGAAATAATTGATTCTTGAGAGTCCATAGCCTTATCCCATTCTTTTTCAGCAGTAGTCATTTTAACTTGTATTTTAACTTTCTGTAAACGAAAGGCAAGTCAACTCAATATGGTGTATAAATATAAATACTTAAAGTGCATTTTATTTATAATATTACCTTTCTAAGTTCACTATGCATCCAATCTAAAAGGAATGTCAAAAATTCATGAGAATCCTGCTGCTCATAACTACTAAATTGAAGTTTATATTGTCCAATGGCCACCTATCATAAAACAAATTTCATTGTATATACATATTATCATATTAATTCATAATATTTAACTATAAACTAATGTAAAATAAATGCAATTTTTAATCAAATTAATATTTAATATATATCAATTTAAAAATACCTTCAGACAATGTGGAGATATTCTTTTATACTGGCCTGTCCAAAGTGCTTTTATTACTTCAGCAACATTTGTTACAACTTGAGTTTGCGAAACATTTTCATTATTTCTATTTAAATCGTCAGCATATAAATTATCGATGAAATATGTTGATAATTTTGGTGTATTACTTAGGCACTGTATGATACTATTCATATAACAAGAATTGCCTAAATTCTTTAGTCCAGTTATACCTGGATGCTATTAAAAGAAACAAAATATTTTATTTCCATTACTTATTACTATTACTAACTAAACTATACAAAAATAATAATCCAAGTACACATGTGATTATCTAAAATACACACACACACACACTCACACACACATACACAAAGTAATTATATATAAAATTTAAATATATCATAAGAGTGCTCTAATTGGAATAAATTGTTATACAGAATATTATAATATATAATTGTCATTTCACCTAATATACTTACTCTTTTAAAATAACTAACAATTTGTTGTGGATTAAATTTTGCATGCAAATAAACCATTATTGTAACATTTTTCTTTTATACAAAATTTTATATATTGTACATTATAATGCGTTAATGTAAGCAATTTTTATTATTTAAAACACATCATTGCAATAATTAAATAATTCATTGATATCAAAAAATTAAATTCCGATAGAACTATATTAGCACATATTTGAACACTGTCACGTGTATAAATGACAGCAACCGGTGTGGGCGAACAGATTGGATTGAGAAACCCCACATGTGTTTATATATACATATATACACACGTGTGGATAGATCGATTCTTTATAGTATATATATATATATATAACATAATGTACTTGACCAACTAATTTTCACATATCGCGTATATATTTAGATATAATATGGAGATATATATATATATATAATCAGAAATATTCTTACTGTTATCATATAAACGTATTTACGCGAATAAAAATGTAAGAAAAAGAAAGAAAAAGGAATAGAGAGAGAGAGAGAGAAAGAGAGAGAGGGAGAGAGAGAGAGAGAGAGAAAGAGAGAGAGAGAGAGAGAGAGAGAGGAGAGAAAACGTGCGCGTGAAAGAGAAAAAAATACTTCGACGGACTTCATTGTAATCAGATAATTGCTTAGAACGCTTAGAGTTTAGTTATATTCAAAACGTGACTTCCCTTGAATCCTTCAATCGCATAAATATCAAATGTCATAGCATTTATGTAATCGTTACCAAAAATTATAATAATATAAAAAAAAATAAAAATCACATGCTTTACCATTTTTTGTATGTTAACAAAATAACAGAAAAAAAAACTGTTAAGGAAATTATATTATTCTTGCATTCAAATCTTAAAGCAAGCTAAATTATACCATTTAAAAAACGAAAAACTATTTACTATGCAAGCTGGATATAAATTTTATTAACATAACATAACGAAGCTTTTTTCTAATTTTAATGATAAATTACTTACTACATTCCCATGAATAGGAGTTAACTTTTCTTCAATACTTCCCCAATTAAAACGTTGAAGTCTATTAGTCTCATTATTGAAACGAGTATGTTGGTATTGTGAAGAAATTTGTGGTTTAGAAGATCTGTCTACTTCCGGTGCCTTATGATCCCTCATCTACATCCAATATGGATGATTTAAATTTAATATAAAAACCAATAATGATACATCATAAGAAAATGAAAACAAATAAAAATGAAATAATTCATTTGTTCTCGTTTACATATTTTACATGCATGGCAGATGAAAAAAAAAAGTCTGTTTCAAAATACTATTCGATTTTTTATATGTCAACAATTTTATAAATATTCATTATTCATCTCTTATTGATTTGTATAAATCTAAATTTATATATATTATAAATATATAACTTACTTGCATTAAATTAGGACTAGAATGTGAACGTTCTAACCCACTACTGATAGAACTATCAGTTTTAAGAGGTTCCATATGAATATCTTTGTCATTTTGTTTTATGGATATATCTTTATGATCTTTTTCTAAAGATCTTCTGTTAACAATAAAGAATATGTACAATAAGATATTAGAATAGTAATGATAATGTCTTTTGAAAGAAATGATAATATTATTTGTATACTTACTCATGCAATCTTTTTCTATGTCCACTAATATCTTTCAAACGTTGTCGTACTATATGAAGATTAAAATCAAGCTTGCTTTTTTCTTCTTGGTCCTCATTAGAGAATTGAATTGTACCTACTTCTTTATATTTGTTTAATTCTTTCTCATTTTTATTATGAATTTTTTGCTATAAAAGAATATTTAAATTTACAATTTAAATATAAAAAAAATATGGTATTAAGAATACATAATTTTTTTATTTTCAATGGCATATATAAAAAAAAGAAAAATATTTATACCAATATATTAAGTTCAGAGTTCATTGATTCCAAATCTGTGTGTATGGTTGAATCTTCCTTAAAACCTTTATTTTTTATATTTTGATTATATAAAGAAGTTTCTGTATCATAAATCTTTTGTTCTAACTTTTCCATTTCTCTACAAGATTCATTTAATTCTTTCATCAGACGTAATACTTCTTTTGAATTAGGATCAGATGTTTTCAATGAAGTGGGTTTATTACTTCTATCAATAATTGGTTTAGTTATTATATTTTGTTGTAATAATTTGGCAGGAATATTTCTTTCTCGATTTATAGTTTCTCCATATACAGATTTATAAATGCCAGTAGTTTTTTCAGCCGATAAATTGATATTGTTATTGGACAAAGTTGAGGATATAGTGCTGTTTATTTTAGTTTCGAAATTGTTAAGCAATTGTCTGTCATCTAAAGAATCTTGTATAATGCTCTTATCTTTTATAAAATTAGATTTAATTTGAGATTGTTTCTTAATAGCATTTTCATCATCATTATTCACCCAGACAGGATAACTATCTAATACAAAATCTTCCAAAATATCATTATTCGCTTCAACTGTTTCAGAAATTGTTACATTAGGATTTGTAGTATGTGCAGGATATCTCATTAACCATTCATTGTAACCACCATCCAATATTACTATCTTTTTATATTTTGTAGCTGGATCCCACTTCAGTAATGTCTCTTTAAATATGTTTAAAGGGTTAGAAGATGATAGTGACTCTTTCTTTGTTTTCCAATCTAGTAAAACTAGTATATCCACATATCGTGATCCACGTGTACGAAAAAGTTCTCTTGATTTTAGATTTTTTGCAAGATCTTTTTCGTAATGACTTGCTGCTTTACTAAAACATAATATGTATATATAATAATATAATTCAATATTATTTTTTATGTGATAGTTTTACTTGATATAAAATAATTTAAATTTTACCCTTCACTAATTTCATCTTCTGGAATGTTTATACATTTACATGTATTTATTTGTGACATTTTATAATCACTTTGTGGTCTAATGTCAATTATTAAAAATCTTAGATCTTCTTTTCGCATTATTTGATATAATTGATTACAAGGTATAAATTCTTCTATTTCTGTATTCAATGGATCGTCTGTTGGTGTTTCTGGAAACTTCAATGTTACATCGGAAAATACTTTACACTTCTCATTTGTAGAAGGAAGAATATCTAAATCCATTTGATCTACAGAACCCTTTCCATCAAGGATCGTCTTTTTTAAATTTTGACTATATTTTGCTTCTAACTTCTCTGATAATGTTTTAATTAATTGCTCTACATTTTTTATCTAGTACAAAGATAACAATATGTTTATATTAATCACTTATCCTTTTTAATTGTACATTAGAAAAATATTACTTTAAAATAGTCAACAAAATATATGTAAATATAAATATATATATATATCATCCAACCTGATCATTATCTATTTTTTGAAGATAAAATTTTTTATCTCTACTTTTTATCCACTTCACAGCATTTAACCATCTTGTGAAATATACAAAAGCTACACTGTCATCTTCTTTTTCTAGGTTTTCTTGACCTTTTTTATACATCTTAGGAAGCCTAATAAGTATATTATTAAGGCTCATTCCTTCATAGTTGATATATGCTTTATTTTGTAATTGTTTCAATCTATCATATGGTAAATTCAATCCCTCAGACATGATTCAAGTTTCTTGTTCTGTAAAATATAGATTTGTTGTTCTGTTATATATAGATTTGTGAATATACAAATTGATTTTATAACCAAAAAAATATGAAAAGATGAAGATTTCGATAAAAGTTATCTTTTGTAATCCGAAAGCAATTCATTTGTATATTATGCATGTTTATAATAATGCTTCATTATAAAATAAATTATACAAATAAATTAATTAACAATTAATATTACTATTAATTAATCATATTGACAGACCATACCACTTACGTCAAAGATTACACTTTGTGAATTAATCAATACAAGAATACGTATATAAACACATATAATGTGTTTCTTATTTGTACATACGTATATTATAAAACATTTATGTTATTAACATAAATCTATTACATATTATAATCCGCTTTACAGCCGTTTTCGAAGTAATAATACTCGAATAATACTCTTACAGAATTGTCACATTGTACATACATGAACCACATTTCATGTATAGAGTGGACAAATATTTCAAAATACATAAATGCCGCGAAACTACATTACCGGCAGTGATATGGGAACTGGGGGAGGGGATTTAATAAACAATGCACATTATATATGAAATTAATATTACATTTAATCAACAATAAAGATTACATATAAAATGTATCAAAATTAAAAAAGGTGTTTTTAATTTCTTTTTTTTTTGTTTTTTTTTGTAAAAATGAAATATCAAATATTCATAAAAAATACATTTCTTATTGTTAATGACAAATATTATAAGCACTTCAATATCACTATGCAATAATTAAATACATATAAATATGTAATACAATATGGTAACAAAAACGTATTCTCTCAATTTCTTACTTTTATAATTTAAAAACAAATCGTTTCTTTGTTGGTCTATTGTTATCATCATCCTTTCTATTATCGAAGGTTCTTTTTTTCGACTGTATTTGTTGAGAGCTATCATTCCTTCCATCTTCCTCCATATCAGATAATACAAGTTCTTGTTTAGGAAGCGGTTCGTGAAAGGGATCTGTTCCCATTTCACGAAATCGTATTGATGATAGACCACTAAAAAAAAAAAAAAAAACATTTATATCTATACGTATACAATATTGTCATTCTGTATAATAAATATAATAAAGAATATCAAAACGCACTTTTCCTTACGATAAAGTTCATAATAGCCAACGCTATTATTTAGTTGAGCAAGTTTTACTAAAAATTTCTCATCATGACTAATCACGATTAGTTGGAAATTCTTTTGATATCGCGATCTTATTTTCACAATCCTGTAAAAAAATCAGGATTGTAAATTATAATTATCAGGATCAAATCATAATTATCATTATTATAATAAACATGCTACATACATATTGAGAGCATCCGCTAAACTATTCATGTTCTCTTCATCTAAATTTGTAGTTGGCTCATCAAGAGCAAGAACTCCACAATCTTTGCAAAAAGTTTCAGCTAATGCAAGTCTTATGATAATTGATGCTAAAACCTAAAATATAAGTGAATATAATATTTGTAAAATAAAACATGAACTTATTATCTCAGACAAAATTATGTACTTTTTGACCTGCACTGCAACGTCCTCGCATATCCATTTCCCTTCCATTCTTTATTTGAACTAATTTATAATCATAAGATCTACGCCCAGACGCAGTACCTGAAGTATCATTTGTACGAATTTCTATAGAAGATGTATCATTCCCGATATATATAGCTTTCCAAAGTTTTTTAATTATTTTATTCACAGTCGCCATACGTTCTTTATGATATTTCATCATTGCAGCATCTAACACCTTGCAGTATTTTTTTAAATCTGACACTGCTTCATTTTGTATCTAAATTATATATTATTCACGATAATTATAAACATCATTATATAAAAAAAAAAATGCAATAAAAGAAATATGTCATTGCGGGTACCGTTAATTCAATACATTTATCCATATAATTTTTACGAGCTAATCTATAATTCTCCTTTTGAAGTTCTTCAGTATATTGCAACAATGTCCTTTCTAATTCTTCTTGTTTTCCCTTTGCTACATTTTTCTAAAATTATATGATGTTTTATATATTTTATTTCTTTAATTAAAATATTTTCATTTGTGATAATTTATTAAATATTTTACCTTTCGTAACAAACTTTCTTCATGATTTTTGAACTTTTGCCACTTTTCCATCATCTGCTTGTAATTCATATTTTCAAGCTTCTCATTTAGATTTTGACATTGTTTCTCTAAATCCTGTGCAGTTAATTGAAGTTTCCTTAATTTAAGATTATCATTCAAATTTCTTTTACGCGTTTCTTGATGACTGATATCATCCTTTAGATCTTTAATCTTTGTTTGTAATTTATTTTTCTCCGTATCATTTTCAATAATTTTTCCTTCATAAATTTTTATCTCATGTTCTAATTTCGTTAAAGTATCAAGATTATTACATTGATTGAAAGTATTAACTTCATTTTGAATTTTATTCAAATCAAATAATTGTCTTCCTCTTTCTGTCACTATTTTTCTGTCGTCCTCCTCTTTTATCCAATTTTCTTTCTAGATGTCAAGTAAAAATTAAATATAATGAACTTATATAATTGTGTAAACAATTATATATAAATGTGAACGTAATTTTATAAATACATACTTTTAATAGATCCAATTGACAAACAGCTGTTTCTAACTTGCTGTCTTCAGACGAAAATCTATCTTGTAATTTTTGCACTGATTCTATTAACATTACTTGCCGTGAATATAATTCTGTTTGCTTATCTCGCAATTCTTTTAATCTTTGCATATCCGATTGTATTTTTAATTGTTCTTCAAACAAGATGTTTCGTTCTTCCCGAGCATGTTGCAATTTCTCATTAAATGTATTTAATTTTGTCTGTAAATACTGTATTTGATCGCGAGATTTCTTTAAAGAAGCTTTTAATGAATCTCGTTGAGCTTGTGCCTCAGAGACAGTTCTAGTATTATTAGTTCCTAAATAAGATATAAAATAAGTATAATTATATTATAGTCTTTTACTAATTTCATCATACCTGTTTTAACCATTAGTTCTTCTATATTAAGTATTTTTTCCTTAAGATTATTTGTTTCATCTATTAATCGATCCCAAAGCATAACATTTTCAAATAGACTTTTGGATTTATTTAAAATATCTTCAGGAATAGCTTTTAACTTTTCTTTTTCTTGTATATTTGCTTGATGCTTCGTCAATTGTTCCTTCGTACTTATTAGATTCTCTCTAATTTTTAGATTAAAATAAGAATTTAATGAAGTATATTCAATAAAAAAAAAAATGTAAAATAAAAAAGTAAAAGAATTAATATAACTTACTCTAATTTAGGTATTTCAACATCTTCCAATAGACTTATCTTCTCTACAATTGGTTTTAATTGTAACATAGTATCGTATTTATTTTGCTCCATTTTTAAATTTGCTTCGCAATGTTTAAGAATTTCAGGTTGATTTTTGATATCACCTTCCATTTCTTTTACTAAAGCATCTACCTCATATGACTCATCAAAATTTCTATGGCACAAAGGGCAACAAGGATCTTGTTTTTTGATTTGCTTTAAGTATTCTTTATAAGCAGTATTTTGATATGCATATATTCCTCTTTTATCTTGTAAATCTTTTACTTTTTTTGATTGTAGCAATAACACTTCATCGAAATCTTTATAATCACAAACAGAAGATATTTTCTGTTTATTAGCTAAAAAACAGAATTACAACTAAGTAATAACAAATAAGATTTATAAAACATATTATAACCACACACTCACACAAAATGTACAGATCTGTCTATTGTTTTAAAATAATATACTTACACTGCAATTCTGATTGTTTATTTTGAAGTTCCTCTTCGTTATATTTCAACGTCGTTTTTGTAGTTACTAATTTTTGTTGTTCTGTTTGTATATCATGAGTCGTTGTTTCTATACGATCCATCTAAAATGAATTAATAATACATTATTGTACTGCTATCAACGACTGCTTCACAATGAAAAATATTTATTAAGAAATTAAAATCATACTAATTTTTGTTGTACTGGATCCAATATATCTTTTAGTTTGGTATGAGGTAAGGTATCACTTTCAAGCAACATTTTAATTGTATCTTCATGTTTCTTTTTAAAACATTCTACTTCTTTTTCTTTTGTTTCCATTGTTGAATTATGTAATGCCATCTCAGCTTGTAATGTAGCATGTTTATGTAAAACTTCTATCTCTGTATCAATAGCAGTTATCTCTAACTCCAATGCATCTCTTATAGCAGTTTCATCATTTATTTGCTCTTTTATATTATTAACATCACAAGACTGAGATAAATCATCAATTTTTTTATTTATATCTATAAGTTTTGTTTCTACAGAACATAATTTATTAGCAGCAACTCCAATCTACAATTTAAGACAATATTTATATATGTCAATATTCTTTATTACATTTCCAGATAATTAATAAATACTAACCTGAGTAATTTCAGTACGAATTTTATTTATTTGATCTCTTGTTTCAGTAACTTCATTATCTTTAATATTCATCTCTGATTCTGTCTTTGAACGTTCAGAACGTAGTACATCAATCTCTTTTTGGAGCTTTTCCTCTTCTTCATGTCGCTTCTGCCGTTTAACTTCTGTTTCATGCTTAAGATTTTCTATCTTATTTTCAAGATTCTTAACAAGAGCTGTTATTTCTTTAAATATATAATTTATTGTTAATATTATTATCAAATTGTGAACAGATATAAATGTGTAATAATAACCATACCAATATCAGATGTACTTTTATCAACTAGTGTTCTCATATTCCATTCAGATAACATATCATTGAGTGTTTTATTACGATAAGAAATTTTTTTTTCTTGATCTTGCATTTTTTGCTTTAATGTACCAACAGAAATTCTTTTTTCTGTTATTATATTTACTATCTTGGCCTCACTTAATGCAATTTGTTGCAACTTCTTTTCTACCTACGTAATTAATATTTATTGAAATTACACAAATGATCAATAACTAAATAAATTAAATTAAAATTTCATATTAAATGTTAAATTTTACCTCTGTTATTTCAGAAGCTTTCTTTAATAAATTATTATCATATTGTTCTAAACGGTTAGTTAATTCAGTCATGCTTCCATTAAAAACTTGTATATTTTCTTCTAATGATTCAATTTGTTGTTTGTTGATATCATATTCTAATTGCTTTTTATCTATATAAAAATGAATTTTTATTATCATTCTCTTAAAGAAAATCTATTAATCTTAAATCTATATTATGTATTTAACAGCTACCTCTTTCAGCTACTAAAGTTTTATACTGTGTATCCATTTTTCCAATTTCACGAATTTTTTCAATTATAGGTTCAAGTTCCTTATCGATTGTCATTATTTCATTTGTGGTATCTTCTAATCTGTTCCTAGTATTTTGACGTTTTTTCTCTTTGTCTTCAACTTCATTAACAACATTTTTCAATGCATCTTTTTGTACTTTAAAAACACGCAAACTCTGTTCCATATTTTTAATGCACTTTAAAAAATTCTCAAGGGCCTTGTTAAATCTAACGCTTTCAAAGATCTCATCAAACTTTTCTTTTAACTTTTTCCCATCATCTAATGGCCAACTCAATTCTTCTTGATGACAAAATATCACATAATTCAAGATTGACTTGGAAACACCCATTGCTGATATTACTTCTGTATTTACATCGATACATCGGTTTGTAACTGATACTGCCTATATTGAAAAATATAAAAAATATAATTAGAACAATAAAATCATAAGTCTGTTTTACAGATGACTGAATGATTAATTACTTTGGTTGTACCCTTTTCTCTCCTACTTAATGTACTATCTACAGTTTTGAATCTTGATGTTGTACCTGAATACAAACACTCAATTGTTCTACATATCGTGTAACTACATCCATTAGCATTTACAAATTCAGCTTTAACAAATCCTTTTACCTATTATAAATAATATTATAGTTTAATATTATAATATTGTTTTTATAAAAGAAAGTTAGTAAATAACGACAGTTATAAATGTTTACATACTACACGAGAGCCTGATGTATGTTTATCATGAATAAATGCTTTTCCTCTATCAGAACCTGGTGGAAAATCACCGGTTGTGGCAAATTTTAATGATTCAATCAAAGTTGTTTTCCCAGTACCATTTGGTCCAAGAATAAGTGTTAAAGGACGCGTGAAACGTATTCTCGGTTGATCTTGTTCATCAAAATTTCGAACACCACAAATCGACATTTGACGTATTCGAGACATTTCAGATTTTCTAAAATTAAACAAATAATACATAAATAAGATATCAAACTAATACATAATAATATATAAGATATCAAACTTAATAATTCATGTTCTATTAATTTTTATTTACATTATTCATATATGTATATTATTTATATATATATATACGTATTAGTTTTAATAATTACCTTGTTTTTAAAATATCAGCTTAATAAATTCAAACAATTTTCTATGATATTTTATTCTTGCAGCTGCTTTATCGTTTCTTCTTTTTACTTTATACCGCGCAATAGAAGACGTTATATGTTCTAACAAATGAATAAAGATTTTTGACTTTTGATTGAGGATATCATTGGATAGATTTTAACGAATCAAATTACGCTAATAATTTTGAGTCCAAGATTTCATCTAATAATCCACGGTTATTTTATTATTCAGTTGTGTTGAAGATTCAGAAGAATTGAAAGGTTTTCAAAAAGTGGATTGGTCGCAAGATAAAATTGTGAGGTTCTAACCTAATATTTTCTAGTCTGATTGGTTGAATCCTTAGGAGTCATTACAAATGGTTAATTGTTTATAAATATAAAATATAACAGATGATAAAATATAAAATAATAGTAAATAATAAAACATAACACTTAATACGCGAATGATAATTATAAAAATATATTTGCCATGAAACGTATGAGTTACTAATTAATTAATAATAATTAATAGTAATTTACTAGTTGAATTTTAAATGTGTTTGAAATCGATATATCAATTTTGTTAAAGTAAAACGAGCACTTTAACAAAGGTTTAATAAATTTATTATAAAGCAGGACAAATGAGAAAAGCGCATTAAGGTACAAGATAAAAGCAAAAATCATATGATTTTCGCGAGTTTAGTATAAAAAAGGTATTATCTTATACGTATTATTTAATAGACAGGTCACAGATAGAGTATTTCGATCGTTCGATAAAACCTGCTTATTATCATGTCGATTATTTGGCAGGCAAAAAACAAATGATCATGTAAATTCGAACATATTACTTACTTATCGGTAATATAACATTGATTATAATACAAAAACAATATTTGTATATTAGTTTTCTTTTATCTTTTTTCTCGCGAATGGTTGTTACTCTTGAAATAGATCTTATCTTTTGCACAAATAGATTTCAATAAGAATATTATACGAATGTAATATTAATTCGAATGAATTGATGAATCTTGCTTAAATAACATATATCCCATGCGTATAAACATTAATGACATTTGTTTGCGATATTGGAAGTGCAAAATTTTCAAGTAAAATATAAATAAATATATACCTAAATCGTGTACGTGTCCTCCACGGTGAATGTTTGGTGTGCGTGTATATGTATAAATGTGATTGATGTATGTACAAATGCACTAAAAACATATAGATCTGTAATTTGTACCCTTTTTCATTATAAGATCAAATACATATAATCTGCGTTAACCTTACATATCTAAAATACATCTGATCGCAGGCATATCCCTGTGTTATAACCTATTATATACAGTTTCATAAAGTTTTTCTGTCATTTATTTGTTTGTTTTTTTTTTGTTTTTTTTTCTTCTTTTTCCTTTTATTTTTGTTTTTTTTGTGTTTTTTTTTCTTGTTTATTTTTTCTCGTTTTTTTTTTTCTTTTTTAATAATATTGCTCTTCTCTCCTAACACGTTATGGCAGTCTTAAGGCAAAATCTATATAATTCGCACGAGTTCCTGCATGTAACTCTTTCCTTCATCCTTTTCTTTTTTTTTTTTTTTTCACAAAAAATTAAGCTAATGCTCTCACTCGGCTTGTGTCTACGTGAAGAGATCAATGTGTTAAGTAATTGATTAATTCTTTTATTTTCATTCTATATATATATATATATTTTTTTTTTCTGTCTAAGGCAGATGCATGTATTTTGCATCCAACTCATTCGTTCTTATCTAACTGAACTCGATTAACGATTCTAATGTTTATAATTTTTTCTTTTTTTCTTTTTTCTCTTTTCTTTTTTTCTTTTTCTCTTTCTTTTCTCTTTTTGTTCAGACGTTAATCAAATCACAAAATGTATCTTTTTTTTTTTCTTTTATATCCGATCGAAATTGATTAGATCGCCAATACTCGCATCGGAATTAAGTTTCCAAAAGCTTTAACACGCCAGGAACTTTTACCATAACGTATAATTAACTTGATTCAATTCCTTTTGATTTTATTTAAAATAAAAAATATTTTCATTATGTCTTATATTATCGCATATATATATATATATATATATATATATATATATATATATATATATATATATATATATAATAAGGCTCCTCCGTTGCCAATCATGTAATCGAAATTAAATCATTATTACTGAATCTCATTGTTTAGCTGATATGTTAGCGATAACATCAGTTTCAGAATCGATTTATATAGAAAATTTTCTGCATTTATTTTCTATCCTCTCGTGTATCTTCTCATATGACAAAGCAGAAGCCATTTATTACTTTCCAAATTTTTTAATAGAAGAAGACATTAGAGGAGCCTCGAATTGGCTTCACTTGTTATCGAAGAAAATGAAAGATTCTTCCTCTATCGATTTACAGAGACTTTCGATACGTTCTGACGAAGATCGATTAAAGGGATGATGTATAGATTCCATATGAAGCCATTGAAAATGTATGGGCGCCCTGCACCCTATATACTATTTCATAGATATATTAAGTATTATATGATATAAATTCTTTTTTCAAATTCTCGCATGAAATAAGCGGTACGTATATTAATTAGATGAAAGCGAAATGGAATTCGAATGTTTTGAGAAAAAGTCAATGATTTTCTCATATTTAATCTAATAAGGTTGTAACGCCTCGTGATATGTTTACGATGTACTACTTCGTCCTACATGTTAATTAAGAAATTGAAATTCGAACATTTTTACATTAGAAGGAAGCATCGATAAAGTGTTAATCCTTTGATAATTCCATGGTTTCAACGAATGTACTATAAACGGATGAAATAGTACAATTAGCAACAATTCGTTAATCTCCTAAGGCACAGTCAATAATTCCTGCTTTTTAGATAGTTTGTTTGTTTGTTTTTTTAATTTTTTTTTTTTTTTATTTTTTATTATTCTCTTTAAATCTTGTTGTTCAACGTATCAAAAGTTCAGCAAAGTAGAGGAAGTATGGCGATCTATGTATGTACACATACAATTCAATTTCTTTTTCATTGGAATATCTATTAATTCTTAAAGGTTAATTGCAAGAACGATAACAATATTTCTATGAATCATTACGGTGTGCCACAGACACGTTGATTTTTTAACGTCGTAAGACGTTTGGGACGATCATTTTCTTACTATTGTAACGATAGATAAAGACGCTGTATACTTAATATTTACAGTTAAAAATTAATTCTTTGGCATATGAAATTAATAAGATCACAAAAATTGAAATTTCTTGGGACGGAGCTCTTTTCTCTTTAAAGGTGGCGAGTACGGCGAACATCCCTTATTTTTCTTTTTTGATTTTAACTATTTTGATTTGTATTCTTTATGTACTGGCTTTATTATCAATATACTCATCGTCCTCGTCCGCATATTTGATTTCGTTTTCAGACTCTCGAATTAAATCATAGAAAGACTCGTGCGATTCATCCTTCATATCCGTCTCTACTCCATAATCAGGACTTAGAATGTCTTCCTGAGGCAAAACTATTCTTTTTTTATCTACCTGCCTATGAACTTTAACCGGAGATTTTAAACACCCTCGCGAAAATTCCATCATAGGAATATTTACAATATCTAGATTCTTTTTATTTTCGCTTGGTTGAGTGAAATGCGTGAAATCTTTGTACTTGTACTGTACAACATTTGTTAAATCCAAATTTGAAAGGAACGATTTCGACTTCTCGTTGTCCTTTGTTTTCTCTAGATTCTGCTCGCTTTTCTTCTCATCCCCGACGGTCAATTCTTCGTTCTTTTTCTCGTCCTGAATAATACTAACCTTGGGCTTGTGTCCAATGTATGACAACAATTTGGAGTAACTCGTATCGTGACGATTTCGCTTAACGTTCAAAGGTGACTTTATATTCCTATCTTTTTCCTCTACCTGACCGACGCTATTATCGACACTATTGACGTTTGTCATGCCACTCCTGTTATTGTCTCTCGATGAATTTGGAAGATTCGCTTGTTTGATGGCTTCAGCCATCGATTGGTCGGCAGTCTTTTCCGGGGAAGTATCCAACTCACTTTTCGAAATTGCTGTTGAACTCTCGTAGAGCCGATTTGGAATAATATTCTGAAGTATCGTTCTATCTCTAAGTGCTTGCCCGGATAACGATTCCTCGCTCACTCTGATTCTAGAATCCTCGAGTATTCGATGAATAGGAAGTAGTCTTTCGATCAGCATTTCCTTACCATCATATGAGTCCTCATCCGAAAGAAAATTTCCCTTAGAATCGCATCTTTTTAAAAACTCCTCGTCAAGTTGGTCGATATTAGGACAATTGCTTAGATTGGATTTGGATTCCTCAGCTCTCAACATTTTTATTCTTCTATACTCGCTGGGAGTTAAAGTCGCACCTTCCGTATCTAGCACCAGTCCTTCCCTTCCTAGTTGTCCTTCCATCAGATGACCGTCTACATTTTCCATGGGAATGATATCAGAATCCGTAGACAACAACGGTGGTATCCAGACTAAGAAAGCTGGGTCCATACCCAGATAGGAACCTGGAGCGGCTCCTGCGTTCGCAACATTGTAGTCATAGTAATCCAACTCCAGGTCCATTTCGGGATTAATTAGACTGAATTCCGATCCTGGCCCGTGAAGCAGACGTTCCCGATTTCGACGATCTTTCGTTTCCTTGCCGGTACGCAAAGTGGGTACATTCGAATAGATTCGTACCGGTGAAAATTCCTACAAGAAACAGGAATCTAGGAACAAGAATCTGACATGTTGTAAATTATTTTATAAATCTATATCATACCTTGCCTTGCAAAGCATTACTTGGATTATATTGACAAAGCTTTGGATTATTCGTACTATCATCCGATGCAATTTGAATTTTATTCTCATCTATCGTTGAATCTTGATCGGATGTAGGACTTTGTAATCCTAACGTTCGTAATCTATGAACGTGAGAATAAATTTTATTTCACCATTCCTATAATAAGAATTTTAACTAGACGTGAATACCTACTTCACAGGTCGAGCATACTTCACTTCAGGCTGACCAACAAAAACGATATTCGACATGAAAGATACGCTCTCGGTAATGTCCTTGCTAGAAACTATAGTATTTTGTGAGCCACTAGCTTGCGAGTCATTTAACTTCAATGTACCTGATTCTGCAGTAGTCTCGTCCTCGTACCTATTTTATATAAGATTTTCTTACTTACATTTTATGGTATATGAATGTCTATTGATCAATTTTATCGATAAGATATTACGTACTCCGCTTGAGTCTCAGAGCTATCATAATCTTCTTCCGCTCCGCAGGATGTATTCTCGAGCTTCGTATGATTAGGTGTACCTCTTCTGGACAATCCAACCAAAGAAACGACTTCGGAGATCAAAGTTGCGGAAGATAAAGCCTTCTCACGTCTCATTGTGCTTGGTCCAGAGTCGCTATATACTAAACAAAAAAGATATTAAAGAACATAACGAGGAACAATAAATTGATGCTAAAGTAAAACGACGTTCACAAAGAAATTATTTCGTCCGAGACTCACCGGAGTATTCGCTCAAATTATCCAAATCTTCGGCAATATGATATTTCCTATACTTAAAGGCAAATTGCAATGCTAGAGAAATAGATACGAAAAATATTAACATTAATAAAGACGCTGCAGCTAAGTGGGCAGGTGTCATCCAAAATATCCATTCACCAACAACGGACGTGGAATTACGTTTAAAAGGCACCGACATTAACGTTTGATTCCCTTCTCGTGGCTTATCTACAAATAATACAATAAAGCAAATGCAAACGTTACATATACGTACAAAGTTTTCTAAATATACATACAAAGAATAACAGCATGAGCTAAGAAACCACCGACGCAAGATTCACCAGCTGCTGTTATTTCGTCACTTGAAAATTCCAGTAGTAAATGTTCACCAGTAGAAATAACTGTTTTCGTTGGAGGAAGAGACTTATCAAAGGCTATATCTGTTAGAAGATCTGCGCTCAATGAATCACCGTCACGGACACGGAAATATTGCCCTGGACATGGAAACTGTGCTTGATCTACGTGCAGTCTGACTACAAAGTTTGGTCTTGCCTGTTTGCATTGCAAATATAAAAGAAAATTTCGATCAATATTATCGTTGAAATAACGTCATCTCGAGATGGACCTACCTCTACCAACCAAAACGATCGGCCAGGACAGGCCTGTGTATTAGCTGCTAAAATTTTTCTCGAATTTTCCTCTCCAAGAGTGATTAAACATCCACAACGACACTTTACTCCGATCTGTGCGGTAACTTCCGGTCGTATTGCTGCTAATTCAGCACCATGGTGACATTCCCAATCAGCCATATTCCATGTATCTCGTAAATCGAGCCATTGAGAACCACCACAGGATTCCGTCTCGACGGCTTTTCCCTAAAATAAAAAAAAGTTATTACGAATACAAATCAAACTCTGCAGCTGAATCAAGAAGAACGAATCAAACCTGACAAAATTTAGCACCGTATCTTGGCGGAGGAGTGTCGCAAAATCTATAACGATTGCGAATTCCACCGATGCAGGAACTGCTGCACGGTGTCCACGGACTCCACGGTCCCCAACCACCAGCATCATTTTCTGAACGACAAAGAAACATATGTTAACGTATGAAAGAAACCATGTTACGATTCGTAATTGCTATATTCGTGAATATTACTGACCTTGAAGGGGAAATGTAGGGATACAAGAGAGTTTCACCTCGGCCATCGCCCCTGTGATAGCCTGGCTGACATAAACGAAACAATACTCGATGAATTTTTCCGTAAAAATGTCGCATTCGAAGGTCAATGTGTGTTTTCCTGGCATAGCTTTGAGCTCCGCTATATAATGAAGGGTGGAAGGTGGTGCAAGCGATCGAACGTCGGCCCTAAGGCGACCATAAACTCGCACACGATCCCCTTGTAATCGGCAAGATGGATATTCGAATATAACTGGCACTCCTCCTGATCCTTCGCAGGGATAAATCGATCGTGCATGGACACTGAAGACAAACTCTTCCGACCAATCAACCTACATAAAAAAATTTATAAAAATTTTTATACGATCAAATATTTTTGTGCATGTACGCTGAAGACAAACTCTTCCGACCAATCAACCTACATAAAAAAATTTATAAAAATTTTTATACGATCAAATATTTTTTATGCGAAAAATATAGGCAATAAAAGAGCAAATGACAATGTCAATATATCTGATTCGCTCTTTCTTTTTTTTTTTTTTATTTCTTTATGAATTATGTGTTCAATTTGTTATACATCCTTGATGATATACAAGAAACTATAACTTACTTTGATGTATGCACTCGTTGTTGGTGCATTAGGATTAACTGGAGATGCTTTCAATCTAAGAGCATAATCACCGGCAAGTCCAAAATACTCGCAACGTAGAATAATATGCTTTTGTGTTGGAAATCCTGTTATTTCATCATGATAAAGGACCTATGGTGGAATAATGAAGTATTACGTGTGTTACAATTTGTAATGTCTATTTTTTTCACTTACCTGCACACGACTTTTGTTTTGTGGATCACAGGCAATTGTACTGGAACCGCAATAAATTAATTGTAAAGTATATGCCGCAGCTGGAACCTTTTCGGAAGGTTCGCAAGAGATCTCGCTGTATCTTAATGTTGCTGAGATCGGTTCGTTTGGATAAGTTGTGAATCTTTGACGTTCCAAAAAGAGAGACGGCGTTGGCCACTTTACGTCTAAGGCATTGCTCATCTAAAGAAAAATGATTAACATTTATTTTTTATAGTTTTATCTGAAGATACTTGTCAAGACGATATTGAAGGATCAATACCTGAATGGTGGACAAATCGGCGATATCCGTAATCTTTGATGGTACTGTCGAAAGTTTATATTGAAGTTGCAAAGTATAAGTACCTCCTCTTGAAAAAAATCCACATGGTATCGTTAGAGTAACATTTTCACCCTTTTGTGGCAAAGTATCCAATGGAAACTCGCCGATTAATTCAGACGTGAGACCATCCAGAAATAATACCCTAAGATATATCGAATTTATAGAAATACATAAGTATTAAATAATCCGCAGAATTACATATGTAGGTCGTGCCAGTTCGATTTGTTCAAGGACGGAGTTGTATTCATTTTTTAAGAAAGAATCGTGATAATAAAAAAAAAAAGAAAGTGTAAAGAAAAAGATAACTTTACCTTAAAACGAGAGGATTATCCGTCGTTGAATCAAAACTTTCAGTACTATTTTCTTCTTCGGTAATTTCTTTTTCCGTTTGAACTTCGGTGGGAATCGTGGAAAATCTTTCCTGTGACGATTCCAATATAAAAACTGTGAGATCGCCTGACAATGCAACGTGAGATGCAGGAACAATAACTTTGAGTAAAATTGGCTCGTTGAGACTCGCGATCGATCTTGATGTACCTATGATCAAATGATCGATCGATGAAAATGTAGCGCTAATTTTTCTGTTTCTTTTCTTTCTTCCTTTGAAACTATGTACATTTAAAGATCCTCAAAATTTGGAAATATTTTTACGTAAAAACGTAAAGACGGAGTATAGTGCATGCTTGGACTAATGACTGCGCGCATAAGCACGCAAATAATTACCACAGTTAAGGAGAAGAATAATCAATACTCCTAGCGTTGACCATTCAAATGACCAAGTCATCTCCACTTTCTCGACTTTGTTTTGCAGACGATGATCCCTATAAAATCATTCGATGTCATCCCGTTTATCATCTAACAATTTATCTAATTTACGAAACGAAAGATAATATTATTTCATACGATTAACATTGTAAGATCGTACCGATTGTTTTTGTTTTTCGTTTAAAAAAGTCGCAATTACATTTTCTTGCTAATCATATTACATTTCGCGAAACTTTCATAATAGTGATCCTTTTATTTGTTCGTTGAGAGAATAGAGATAGATACAATCTGTCTCGTTTTGTTTTTTAATTTATATTTTGAACGTTTTTCAAAATATTCTCGTTCAATTTACAACGGTACAATGTTCCCTGCTATGTTTCACACCCTGCATTGCGTGACAAGAGGAGACAGATTCATTACCGCCATGTTGAAAAATTTCTGTGGTCATTCTGGGCATTCGATCTTCGGAACTTGCAGAATCCTTTTCTTTTCTTTTCTTTATTTTCAACGTGAAAGGAAATTTTATTCTTTCTTAGTGTTTACTCGTTAAGTATGATGAATTCGCAGAGTATTGATTGTTCGCTGTGTTAGGATATAATAAAAGATTATATTTTATTATAAATTTTATTATAAAAAAATTATGCATTATATATATATATATATATATATATATATATATATATAATGCATAAATATATATATATATATATAATGCATAATATATATATATATATATATATATATATATATATATATATATATATATATATAGATAACGCCACTCAAAATACAAAATTCTATTTTTAATTAATATAACTTGAGATAAACGATTTACTTATTGTAAAATCTGTGGTATGTTTTAAAAAAATTGTATCCATAATGATTTTCACTTTAAAAATTTTTTACTCTACTTATAATTATATCGTAATACTAAGATTATCAATTTCCGATATTATAAAAAGAGAATCTGCAACTTGTAATTAAACGATGAGTTGCGTGTATCACAGAATATACACGCAAAACATGATAAGAAAAAGTGAATTAAAAATGCATTGCATAATGCATTATACATATCTGGGAAGTTAAATGTATCCTATATTGTAATAAATTACTTTTTACTATATTTATTAAATAATTTCAGATATTATAGAATCGCTATTATATTACAGTAAAAAATATATTAAAATATATTATTTCAGTGTAATATATAAAAAATGTATATATTAATATAAAAATAAGAAAAAAACATTTTGTTTGAATACAAATTTTATATACCTTTAAACAATCTATCTATTAATTTGAAATATGATTTGTTAATAATAATTCTTTACTTACATTTATTGCATTCTCCCTGTCATATGATACACACCGATGTACACTCATCTTCCCAAGACGAAAGTTTCCCATCGTAATGAGAATTTATGTCGAAATTCCCATAAAAAAATAATTCGCATCAAATTATAAAAGTAAACGATATTCAAGCGCGTCCACGTTGACGTGTATATACTATAAATATTATCGGTCTAAGACAACAATATCGTATAATGTATGGAAAGACAAAAAGAACGATGGTGTACTATAAGCAACTTCTTGACAGGGAGAAGAGAAGGGCAATGGTAAGCCGTAGAGTTTACTGAAATCGATATCGAAAGGCGTATCGGATAAAATTACAAACGTCACAGGAGCACACACTTCTATGAAAATAAGATCTCTTTTTATCCTTTATAAAAAGAAAAGGAATATTTCGATGTTCATCGTATGAACGAATCAAAATGGCGAAAGCCATAAGAGAAATGTATTTAGTAAATAATCCGGTGGACGCTAGACGTCGACATATATACATAGACGTTAGGATGGAGTTAAACGTGAAAAAGTACTCCGTCGAGGTGACGCGCACGTTCGCAACTAAAGTTAGGGTGGAAGAGGCACCCCCTCTTTGCCAGTAATTCCCACCCCTTAGTCGCAAGGGTGCCGCCGCTTGTCGGGGGTGAGGATTATGACAGAAGGCTGCCTTCGATGAATGAACGCATGAACGGCTCCGATTCGCACGAGCCACACGCTCTCTCGGCAATTACGTTTTTCGAAAGAAAGTATGAAAAGGGTCGAACAATTAGTGTACACCCAGTAATGCCGCTCGAGTACGATTTCTTTTCATAGAAATAGTACCGTCGAGTGGATTGTTCTCTCGCGTCCAACTAATTGGACTTGCTTCCTATGTATGTACACGAACGGTCTTTTGAGTAATTATTTTCTATTTTTAGAAATTAATAATTTTTCATTACTATCAAAGAGAACAGAGTTACGGAAAGAATAAGGAAAATATTTTCTTAATGCGAGAAATATTAGTCAACTTTTTTTTACTCTTTACTAATCTTAATGTATTACATCGTCTTATTATTATTTTTAAAGAATAATAAATTTACTTTTTATTCAAAGTAGTATCATAGTATCAGTAAATTGTATAAATCGATAGAAAATATCGATTTATACAATCAATTCATAGGAGTTAAATTAGACAGAGAGTAATGTATTTAGAGATTACAAATATGACCAAATTCGTCAACCCTTTATGCCAATTACAATATAACAATCATATCTCGATGGGTATCTATCACATAAATTAAAAAATTAAATAAATCATTAAATGAAATAATATCAATTATCGTGCTATATATTTCATGGATATGTATGGATATAAATTGTTGGCATGAATACCTATAATAGCGATTCTGTAATAATGATGCAAATTTATTTAAATAATCAAATTGAATTCTTCTGAAATTCTGATTTTATAATTATTCTAGTACGAAAACTGAAGCGTTTTTAATCTTTTTTTTTTGTGATAACTGGAATGATCTATCAGAATTTAATAGTACATATGTATTATTCTTTCAAATAATCATTCAAATGTATTAAAATTCTAGACAAAACGATTATTTATATCGTTAAACAATTAATCATAATTTGTATCGTGAATTTAATATTGCACATAATTTTTATTCACTAACTAAGTAGGTCCATAATATCTTGATTAGATAAATTCGTTTTTGTTTGTATTTGTAAATTAGGTGGTGAAGCCATTGGTTGAAGTATCTGAGAATTTACTTTTGACCCATATTCTGTCTTCCTTGTAAGATTCGTTTGTGGAGCCCAACTTGAATTTAAATTATTAGGAGATGTCATCATGTTCCATGAAGTTTGATTCGAATTCCAATTTGTAGATGAAGTAGTATTATTCATGGTCCAATTCATCATTTGACTTGACATGGGTGATGTCAAAAATTGTGAATTTAATTGATTTGCATTATGATTATTCCATGTTGTATTTAAATTTTGACCAATATAATTTGATTGTGAATTCGGAGACTTAGATGCTGATAAATTTAATTCATCTAAATTATTTTTCAGTAACGTTGCTGTTAAATCTTTAGGTTGTGGCTTGAAAATTGATGAGATTGTTTTCGGCGTTAATGGCTCTTGAGATTGTAATCTTTGATGAGTTTCTTGTTGTTGTGCCAATCTAAATTAAAATAAAAATGTATTATAAAAGTACACATTGTGTATATTTTGTTATATGCATATAAGATTAATTTTATATTGAACATCATTTTTTATGATTATACCTAAACTTTTCTTCTATTGTTAATCCATTCTCCATACCAACACACTGTTTTACCATATTTATCGATGGTTTCTGTGCTGTTACATTGATATCATTTAATATATTTTGTTGTGGGAATGTAATCTGTGTTGTTGCTGATAGTTCTTTTTCAAACTGTTGTGTCTCACGTCGCACAGCATCTAGTTGTTTAAGAGCTTCTCTATGTTCTGTAGTTACTCTATTAATCATATCGATCACCAATGTAGAAAGTGTTTCAAATTGTGATGAGCTAAGGTTTTGCTCTATACAAAGTGGCAACAAAAAAGGTAATACTTTTGTTGCTAATATTTCTTTACTAATGCCCATTTTGCTATGTGTCAATAATAATCTATATATTCCTAAAAACAAATAAACATATTTAAAATAATATTATAGTAAAATATATACTATAAATAACATACCTATAATAGCCATTAAAATAGCAGGTTCTCCTGTATGAGGAATTTCTTGAAGAAGTGGCAATATCTCATCATAAACCAACCAGCGGTCAAAATTTGGCAACATTTTTGCAAGACATAATAAACAGTTAACACGAATTCCTAAAGTTGCACTACCATTTGTTTTTTTATTTAAACAAATCTTTTTTATTTTAGGTAGTATTGCATTTTTCATAACTGGTCCTTCAATCATGGTTACTATGTTTGGCAATGCTGTTAAACAAAGTTCTTGAAGTTGTTCCCATCCTGATTCTAAAGCGCGCGTAAGCATAGGAACTATATCACTTTTAATAACATCTGCAGGACACAACTTTAAAAGCAAATTTACTTGTTGCATTAGCACTAGACTGATCTATAAAAAGTAATGGAATAAATTAAAAGAAATGTATAATAAAACGAATTGTAACAATATTATTAAAGAAATAATATTTCACCTGTGGTGGATCCTCTAATGCAAGAACAGGTTTTAAATTAGGAAGAATATGTTCTCTGAATTCTTCTATCTCACAAGATTCCATAACTTGTAAAATGCTTGGTAATACGAATGGGATCATTGGTGGATTTACCAATTCTTTATACAATGATGGTAATACTCTATGAAGTATGACACGATGTGGTAGTTGTTTTAAAACTTGTGGAAGACCTTTATAAAATTGTGACTTTTGGAGATTATCCCATTGAAATAATTTGTCCAAATAATTCAATGTTTTGACTCCGATATCCATAAAATATTCGATCTAAATTATATGATCATATGTTAAAAATAAAATATATTTGTATTATATCATTGTAAGTGAATTTAAAGTAAATATTTTTAAATAATATCTACCTTAATAAATTGATGGGGATCTGGCCTTAATTCAGGGCTATGACTTAACATTAGTTTAGCAGTATCTCTTAGATTTTCTGGAACTGAAAATAATTTAGACGACACAGCAGATCCTTTAAAACTTTCTAAGAAACGTTTACACCTGGACAAATCATTTTGTGATTCATGAAGTGGACGATTATCTGGAGAATGTATAACATAAATTAACATGCCTAAAGAAAATATGTCACTTGATGGACTATTACTGCTTGCCAATATGCATTCAGGAGCTTGATAATCTAGTTGAGGGCATGTTACATATGGAGCGGTAGGATCATATTCTGTATATGACCAACTTGGCTAAAAGCAAATATAAATATAGAATAATTAATAAAATTAATCTAATTTATACGTGATTTATTTAATATAATTTACCTGTTTGCTATCTGTATTTTGATTCAAGGCACAAAAATCAAAACCAAATATTTTCCATACACCATGTGAATTAATAACTATTGATTCAGGACACAAATTTTGATGTAGAAGCTTTACATCCCCATGTAAAAATGCAAGTCCTTCGCCAAGTTGTAAGAGCCCATAACGTATTTCAATATCAAGAAGTTTATAATTCCTTAGGTTTGTCGGAAGCGGTTGTGGAACATTTTCCAAATTACCTAATGCATTAGCTAAGCTAGCAAAGACCGGTTCAGTAGCAAATGCAAGACTGTCTCTTGATTCTTCAAGTGGATGTTGAACAGTTAATATTTGTGGATGTCTTAATTTTGTTAACTGCATTATTCCACGCTTTAACGTTTCCAATATAAGTTCTCTATCTGTTTTCGATGACCATCTTTCCAGAATACGTTTTTCAAATAAAAATATAGCTGCTTCTTGCTTCGTTGACTTTTTGTAACCACTATAAACCTTCCATAATAAACCTGGTCCTGCACTAGCTATATGAGCAATTACTTCGAATTCTCTAGTTACAGGATTACCAGGTAGAACACTGGATAATTGCGAAAGGCCATATGCTGTATTATGTACAGTATTAGTAATAGTATTGCTTACGGTATTTCTTAATTTGGTTAGAACATCCATTTTAATATTTTATATAAAAAGATTGATAGATCATATAATATTTTTGATAATAATCTAAACTGATTTTTATTACTTTCACAAAAAACTTAATTAAACTTATTAATATTTTCTTTATCGAAATTCCCTTCGATAACTTACAAATTGTTCGAACTGTCACTTAACAAACAAATTGATTCTGCTGTATCGTATGAGTCACCTGTCAGGATTACTCTTAATATTTGATTCCTTTCTAGGAACAATTGATTTTTACTGAATAAGTTTTAGTTTACTGATAAGATAATATTTGTACAATAGATAATAGATTATTACAGATTTTACTTATAAACATAAGATTGTTCAATGCCTTTCGCTTATAGTAAACGCGATTCTAGCGACACGTATGGACAAAATATGAACTACAAGCGCAATAGGGAAACCGTTCTCAATATGTGATCATTGATTGGTGTATACGTTTAGGTTATATCACTCTTTCTCGTAATGTAACAATCGACCTAGCTGTGAAAGAAATTTTTGTATATAATAAAAAAAAGCAAAAATCATACGCCAAATTATATTTTTATGAAGATAGGTTAATTGTAAAGTGTTTGCTTATAATATAATTTAACTTATTGAAGGGCTATTTAAACAGCCATTAACTCAAAACATAATAGCAACAACAATAGAAAGAAAATAAATGCATATATTGAATTACGAAATATATAGATATAATGGTAAAAATAAATAGAATAAAAAATATTATATTACTATCGAAGTATAATTAAAAATATAAAATGTAAGTACTTTAATGTTTATCATTATTGTTGATCAAAGAAATTTACATTGCTGAAACAGAAATCTTCGATACCGAATAATGGTAATATTGTTCAAAGATTTGTTTATTATAGAGAGATGTGATTCTTACTCGTTGGAATGTAAAGAAAAGCTTTAATAATTAAACAGTTAATCATTTATTTCATGAATATTTCACTTAATCTTATAGTAATACAATTTACATTAATATAAACTTGTAAGATTTATTTACATTTCTAGTGTAAAGACAATTTCAGAGAAGTATTTTATTGCTGATAAATTAATATTAATTCTAAATTATTTAAAAAATTCTTTTATTACATATGTGTGTGTAAGTACTTATATTAGTAGTATTGATATTTGTAATGATGTCACTGCTTTCGAGGCGCTGTACAGAACACATGGCAGATTTAACCTGATCTAATCTAAATGGCAAAGTAGAATAGTGTATGAAAATATATCTATTTTTTAATTTGTAAAAAATATTTTATGTATTTGATTGACAATGCCAACATTATTTATTGGTGATAATTCCGACTCTGATAAAGAGTTAAAAGTAAATACGGATTATGCTCAGAATTATGATAATTTTCGTAAAAAGGAAGAACTTAATAAGTGTAAGTATTTATAATTGAATATATTGCTATATATATATATATATATATATATATATATATATATATATATATATTTATTTATTTTTAATAAATATTAAATATTTTATTTGTGTTAATACAGTGAAAACAAAGTATGGTGTAGATTTGAATACTGCTGTAAGTTTAGATGATGAAGAAGCAGAATCCGATTCTAGTTCCAGTTCTTCTGAAGAAGATAGCGAAGGAGATGTATGTGATAAAATTTTAATATTTATTTAATAACAATTTTTATCTTTTATTAATTTGATATCGATTAATTTTAGAAATTAAATGAACAATTCGATAAAGAATTCTATAGAACGTTAGCTCGTTTAAAGAAAAAAGATCCTCTTATTTATGATAAAAAGACAACATTTTTTAATAACGTAGAAGATCAAGCTAATGAAGCAGAAAAAAATGAAGAAAAGAAAAAGAAGAAAAAGGAAAAAGTTATGTTTCTAAGAGACTATGAACGTAAAATCATAACTGAAAGAGAAGGAAAATACAGTGATACTGAAGATGAAATTGAGATAGAACAGAAGAAAGATCCAACATATACAGAGGAAGAACGTTTACTTAAAGAAAGTTTTAAGAAAGCATTTAATGATGAAGATGAAGATACTGAGCTCTTAAAGCCAAAGGAAAAAAGTGAAACAGAGAAACAGCAGGTAAATTAATTATTGTATTTATTCTGAAATAGAAATTATGATAGTTATTCTACACATTAAATGTCTTATGATTATACAGGAAGAAGAAGCTTATAAAGAATGGTTAAAAGGACAACAAAAGGATATCGATCCTAAAGAACAAGAAGAATTGAAATCATTGCGTGATTTTTGGACTGATCCTAAATTAGACCCAAATGAAAAGTTTTTAAGAGATTATGTGCTTAATCAGAAATTTTTAAATAAAGAATCTTCTATTGAAGATTTAAATTATAATGAAATGGTTCATGACAGTGATGAAAATTTGTCAGAAGATGAAAATCAAATAAATAAGCAAGAAGAATTTGAACATAAATACAATTTTAGGTTTGAAGAACCTGATCAAGAATTTATTAAAAGGTATATGATTATTAATAATCATATAATAAGTAATCCTAGTTAATTATAATTATTAATTTCTTTATTTATAATTTATTTTTATAGGTATCCACGGACAATGGAGAGCTCACTTAGAAAAAAAGATACTCGCAGAGCACAAAAGAGAGTAGAATTGAAAAAAAGAAAACAAGAAGAAAAAATACGGAAGAAGGAGGAATTAAAACAATTAAAGGCATTAAAAAGGAAAGAAATAGAAGAGAAAATAGAAAAACTTAAAGAAATAACAGGTATAAAATATAAGTGAAAGTATTACAATGATATTTATTATAATAAAAAGTTATTGGATTGATAGTTTATTGCTTTGCTTATAGGAAATGATGATATACATTTTAATGATATTGATTTGGAAGGAGATTTTGATCCAGCAGAACATGATCGAAAGATGACAGAGATTTTTGATGAAGAATATTATGCTGTACCAGAAGATGATATAAAGCCTGAATTTCCAGATATTGATGAAGAATTAGGGGTTGATAAAAATTGGGACGATTTTGATCCCCATGTCGATGAAATTGTTGATAATGAATATGATACACCACATTGTGAAGATCCAGACTTCAATGTAACGATTTTATATACTGCATTATTAACTTACAATATATATCATAGTGTTAATTTTACATGTTTTGATATTAGATGGATGCAGATTACGATGGGACACAGAACTTTCAATCAGAATTAGTGGAAGGGACGAAAAAGAAAAAACGAAGAAGACGTACTAGATTTGCTGAAATTATAGCAAAAGAAAAACCAAAATTTGATCCAATGAAACATCCATCCTATGAGGAATACTTTGATCAGTATTATGGATTAGATTATGAGGATGTAATTGGTGATCTACCATGTAGATTTAAATATAGGAAAGTTGTTCCAAATGACTATGGTTTAACAGTTGAAGAGGTAAACAACAAGTGTTCAAATGTATAAATATAGACAAATAATGTCACTTCAAATATTTAATGAAATTATTTTATTTTTTAATAAGATATTAACGGCTGATGATAAAGAATTAAACAAATGGTGTTCATTGAAAAAAGCTTTACAGTATAAGCCTGAACACGTAGAACAAACGCATGTCAAGGAATATCAGCGAAAGGCTCAGAATGAGGCACTAAAACGAAAAATACTTAAAAGTTTATATGCGTAAGTATTTTTGATACATAATGTATTTATATTATTTCATTTTTATGTATAATTATTTTATAATTATGATAGTCCTGAAGAGCCCGAAGTATCTAATGAAAGTGATGAAACGAAAACGAACGAAACAAAAACGAAACGTCGACGTAAAAAGAAGAATTCTATTATATCTAACGATGTTACACCTAATAATATTCATTCGGAAGATACGAAAAATAATAATAACGATACTGTTCAAATATTAGTTAACGAAAATGTGGAAACGAAAGAAATTACGAAAGTATTACATGAAGATGAAAATACGACAGTTACCAATATTACAGAATCGAAAAATAATAAAAAGCGAAAGCGAAAGAAAAAAGAACATTCCAATGAAATTGAATCCAAGAAAATAAGAACAAACGATACCGTTTACAATAATTTAATAAAAGATATTAAAAATGTTCAACAGAATGCTGTCGAAAAAATGGAAATAGATTCGAAGATCGATAAGAAACACGTTGAAAAAGCGGTATCAAATGTAAAGACAATTTCTAATGAATTTAATTCGAATAAAAAACATACTATTCAGAAAACAAAGAAATCCAAAATAGGTAAAAAGAAATTTAAAAAGAATAAAAAAGACGAACCAAATAGTCAAATAGCTGCATTGGATGCATCTAGATTGAAAATGTATGGAATAAATGCGAAGAAATTAAAAAACAAATTAAAATATGGAAAACAGAAATTATAATTCTTATAATTTTTAATTATAAATTTGTAAATAAAATTTTATTAAGGCTGTTTATTAACCCTGCTTTTATAATGGTTTACACCAACAATGAAAACAGACGTAATTCTTGACCGATTTTGATGGATAAGATTTCATTTTAAAGACGAAGGATTAATCTAGGACCCTACTTTTTTGAATTTTTAAAAAAGCTTTATTTTCTTTGAAAAAAAATTATGTTAAAAATGATATTTTTTAAAATTTAAATAAAACGGGGTCCTAAATTACTCTCTAAATAAGATCTTCGTCTTTAAAGTAAGGCCTTGTCCATCAAAATTGATCAAGAATCATTCATGTTCTCATTGTTGGCGTAAATACTGTTTTCGACATTTTTCGTCAAGAAAAAGTTTTTTACCGTAGCGCTCCTCGAAATTTACGGTAAAAGAGAAGCACTTATTTACACTATTGATTTCCATATTGCACATGAATGAGATATGTTTGTTTTGTTCGAGTGATTGGTTGTAAGTAATTAATAGAAGAGCATTAAGTGATCCTAAGTAAATTTCTTCGGAGATTTACTCGTGAATGGTTCCTGTTTTTTTTTTTTTTAATTTATTTATTAAACTATGATAAAGTCTTTTTGTTCAAATACGTTTATAATTATTTCAAATTTTGAATATTTTAATGCATTTCTAAATATTTTTCTCGTGCAGAAATAATAAAGAAACGATATTTATGAATTCTAATAAAGAATGAGGACGAAGACATTCACGATAGATAGTTTCTGGATTATAATGGATACTGTGTATGATTTGCTATAATTAAAATAATCGTTTGTAAGGAGGGTCTAAAGGTTTGTTTTATATTTTTAAATAACAATCAATTAAATATTTAATCAATTTTAATTGATAAAAGAAAAGTCTCAATAGAGTCATTACTTTTGAAAAAAAAATATCGAGTAGTCATTGGTTTAAAAAGAAAAAAGTAGAATAGAGTCATTGCTAAGCAATAAAAAGATTTGTAGAATCACAGCATATATTGTGAATCTATTACTTAGAATATATTAATCATTTTTTTAATCAAATAATAAATATTAATCAAATAATAAATATTAATCAAATAATAAATTAATTTCCGTTTCTTTTATGCCTCGAGAAGGTATTTCTCGAAAAGATAGTAATGAGTTTCTATTCAAAGAGATAAGTCTTTGTTTTTCAAATATGTTGTGTTATGGCTTTCTCCCATATTTTAGAATTTAAAATTAAATTTTGTTATTATACATTTTGAATAATGATCAGTTAGATTAGAGCACAAAGCAAAGAAGAGACTATTAGAGACAAAGCTGAAGAGGACTATACAAATTGTGGCTCAAGAGGGCAACTATAGACTAATGAGTTATTTTCGAAGGTTCACGAGAATGGCTCTTAGTTATATTTTAATTTTATCATGTTATCACTCAAAATCCTTTCATGAGTGTAGGGGGAATTCGGAAAACTAAGCGACGTAACATTCCATCTCCGGTCCCACATTGCCACGCGTACGCGAATAGGATTATTTCATATTTTATGGATTTTTTTTTATTAAAATCGAGATAAAAATTTTGCACCTTTTTCTTTTCTAAAGTTCAATTAAATTCATATTTTTATTTTAATAAAATCAAATTGTACGTTAAACTTGAGTCATAAATTTTGCACATTTTTTCTTTTCTAAAGTTCAATTAAATTTATAATTTTATTTTAATAAAATCGAGTTTTATATTAAAGTCATAGCTATGAAACGTATAAAATATAGTAATTGTAGAGATGAAATTCCATTGAATAAAGGTGCACATGGAGCTGAAACAAGCACACAGGATCATCAGGTGGGACTCTTGGGACGAGCCCTTTGGGTGTAGGCTTTTGGGAGGAGTTTTGAGTAAGTCTTTTTTTTGCAGAAAAATCGAACTCTGGTTTTGTGCAGCGATATTCAATATTTCCATCTCTCGTTTTGAATTTCATTGTTGTCACGCACATTCAGGCTCTCTTTTCTCTTTTTTTTCTGGCTCTTCTTTTTATCTCATATTTTTTCTCTTTCACTTTTTCGTTTTCTTTTATTCTTTTTCAGGTATTATCGAGACATCATCGAGGTATAGATCGGATGATACCGAAATATTATCGAATGACTCGGTTCATTATCGTTTCTTATAGGAGAATACGAGAAAGATAGGAAGAACATTTGCGCGCATGTTAACGGGCACAAGCATGAATGTTTGTGGGCACGATTAAAAGTCTTATGGGGGATTTAGTTTTATTTGCTCGAAAATTCGATTAGATTATCTTGTGAACGTAGATTTTAGTCTCCACATGCAGCAACTTCCACATAGTGAAATCTGGATCGGTAGTACTTGCGATATATTAAAATCTAATTGAAATGCAAGTACTACCGGGCGAATAGTTGCATATTTCAATTCAATACTTTCAGAATCAATTTCAATACTTTCAGAATCCCATCAATCTAATTCTGATTAAACACTAAAGTATTAACGCTTTACATTGCCAATAATACTTCTACAAGTAAATATATAAGATATAGTTAAATTCAAAGATAATTTCTTTAAATTTGCAAATATATATAATAATTATCATATGTGTTAATTATATTTATTATTCTTTATGCTTTTATTGTAAAACAAATATGTACCAACGTCGTATCTGATACGAATCATTTCAATATGAACACTATTATTAAAAAAAGGTTTATATATGACAGACTGAAATGTTTTGAGTTTATAGCCTATTAACTAACTATTTACTTTAACCTACACGAAATCAATTGTTGTTTACGCGTAAGAGGGGTATACCAACATAAGCTTATATACTGATACGATAAACACATGGTGGGAATATTGTTCCTATTTGTGTTTATATTTCATACCTGTCCTATCTCTGAAGTCACACACGTTACGAGCGAAAGATGATGAATGGCCTTAAGCTATGTTATATATACACATTCATTTACTTTTTTAACAACCTTTTTTATCTTGCGATTATTTTTAATACTTACCGAAGACATCGGTGTTCTAATCTTTCTTTATTGTCTTATCGGCATTGTAAAATATTATGTAAAATGATAAGTAAACGATATGGAAACTTTTAGTATAGACAACCCTAAAGTTTTATGAGAGAAAATGTGACTTCGATATTTTTTAAGGGTTGACTTTCATATTACAGTGAATCTGCTTCAGAATGATAAACGATATTTGCGGATTATTAGGATTACAATGCCTGTTTACGTTTCCTTTTCGAGAGCCACCGTTTCTAATCCATCCCATATGGTTTACACGAGGAAATCCCTACGTACCCTAAGTATGTAGGCTTCTACATAACCCCTATATGTAGGCTTCTATTTCTATCGTCGAATAAATCGAGGGTACATTTTTAGTTGGTAAAAGTAAACTACGATAAATCGAAAATTATTTCTATCTCATATTTCTTTAGCACAAATATTTTCGACTAATACAAATATTATTATTTTATAATATTATAATTAAATGTTTTAAATAGTATTATTATTAGTTTTTTATTCTTAACAATTTTTTTTTTTTTTTTTAATAAATATAAAAAAAATAAAGTTTCTTTATATTTCTATTAAAATTTATCATGCCTTTCAATTATTATTATTACATATGTTCAACAATTAAATAAATTTCTATATTTTTATATTTATTTTTAAAGAAACTTGGTGATTTATTTTCAGTTTAACCGATAATATGAGAGCTTCGATTAAATAATTCTTTATAGAGGGTCAGATAAGAAAGGCTCGATATACCCCTCTACATTCTCTTCTCCAGTATACCCATGGGTACGATAAATCAATCCCTTTGGCTCAATGATACTTCTATAGTAGCAGGTGGCCTCGGACAGTCACCGACGTTCGCGCCCTTAATTCCCAATTAATGTTACCCCTCTTCAGAAACGTGTGTTCGAACAATTTCTTTTCGTACTACGTCGTCACCAATATGGGGTAACTTACCGCGAAAACGTTCCACTTATTATTCACATATCGACGCTTATTATCGATGAGAAATTCAAGATAAGAAACTATTATCTTGATATTATCATATCGATTATATACGTTATAATACAATATTACATGATACCTCTATGAAAATATCTGTAACAATTACATTTAATGTGTAAATTTCAATAATAAATTTAAATTCTATGACATGCCCTTTACAATTTAATTTTAATGATGATAACAAGAATAATATTTTGGTTCACTTATTTATTATTAAAGGGTTCGTCTTTAAGCATTATATAATTACTATATTATTACCTATGGAATTGTATAGGTACTTAGTTGAATTTTACGGACTAACGCCTCTATCTGTACTTATCCCTCCTTGTACGAGTAGGGAACAGTAATTGAGATGAGCCTGTATTCCCCTATCTTCCTCTTAATTGGTGGAAAATTGTTAGGGGTGAGTACGTGAGAATCGATCGTTCCTTGTTAACCGATCAGAAAATTAGATATCAATACGATAGTAATAGTTATATTCGATTTTTATATACCTTAAAAACTTTACATTTTTATTATAATTTTCATGATAAAAAAACGTTAAAGCATTTTAGATACTAATTAATTTTTTTTATATCGCGATAATGTATAATGTATCTGGAATTATTGTAAATGAATGAAAATTTACATTTCTCTTTTTGTTGTTTTTGTAACAATACAAAATAATGAAACGAAGCGTATTTCGTAGATCGTTTAGAACACGTAACAATGATTTCAAACCTCTGATTTACCTGATAAATTTAAATCTTCAATGAAAACTTGTTGTGGTACGTTTCCAACTTGAATGAGAATAATGAGATAAGTTGTGACGGAACTGATCACCTAAAAGTAATACAAATTAGCTGTTTATAAATTTAATAAAAATCTACAAATCAATATTAAAAATTATATTTTGAACGCACATTACGTATCAATGTATGGTCGAGATAAAAAAAACCGCAGGTTGTAAAAGTCAATGGATTTTGAATAAGTTGTAGAGTGAAGTCACGAATCTAGAAGGATAATAAAATACAGATAATAATATTTCTCACATTTCCATTTGTTGACTTTTTACCTCAGCACGAAATTCCTTGCTGGTTGATGGTTCATACAATTCACAGATGATGTCTCCGGTTTTAGTCGCATGTAAAGAAAAATAATATAACATCAATATTTATATCGTTCAATATTTCGTCGAAATTTGCGAAAAATATAATGAATATTTAAAGAACATACCTCTATAATAGTTCTTTCACATACATGACTTATTATAATAATCTTAAATCCAAAATAACAAATCCAATACAAGAAAGTAAAACATTGATAAAGTTGTGTATAGTAGGCCCCGTTATGTATGTGATTGTATAGATTGTAAGCCACAACAGTGATTATAATGAAAGATGTTAATACAGACATTAAATTATGTAAGCCAAACGCATCGTTTAAATTCTGAGCACACTTGATTAGTTCCAGATGTATCTTCCTTCGATAAAAAATGAAAAATGTAAAAAATTAAAAATAATCATTTTATAAAATTATACTATATAATAATTACTTGGCTTTATTAATCTTCAGAACGTTTTTATTCCATTTATACGTTCGATAAATATCAGATGACGGAGAATCGTCCTTCTTATTATTTTGCATTTGAAGGATTCTTTTATGTTGCGGCGAATCGATATTAGTCGTTAACATGTCTTTCAATAGTTCGTTCAATTGACCAAATTTTATCCGTATATATCTATTTTAAGTTTATAGTCTGATAAAATTTGATATAAATATTGAATTTTTTTACAATATATCAGAAAAAATTTACTTGCCTCATCCAGAATATAAAAGTAACATCGGTCACTAATAATAGAATAAATGGATAACGTTCGACGTAATATGTTACAATAATTAACCAGATACTATTCTCGAATAATTTTAGCCATTTATAATCGATTATCATCATACTCATTAAGATAAAAATCAAAATTAACATTATGTAATACTGTTGTCGAAAAAATTTAGACAAATTCATCGGTATATTTAATTGATTCATAGTTCGAGTACAAGTTTCTATTTGTAACGTGAGACGTCTCATCTTCTGTAAAAAATAACTCGAGATGTCGTAAGATAGAAATCCCGATGAATTGAATATATTAAAAGAACGAATAATCTTTTACCTTTCTTCTGAATATTCCAGCGATAATAGTGACAATGTGATACATGTAATCGCTATAGACGTATAACTCATATGTTAGTTTTATAAGAAGTGGTTTTTCATCTTTAAACGTTATCGAGGGAAATGAAATGATATTGGTCATCGAAATGTAGAAAATGATAGAAAAACAAGCATGAATCATACCGATTCCGTTAATCTTATCATCAACGAAATATTCGATCAAACCAGTGGTAAAAATTGAATTCATTATTATCAATGGTTTGATACTATGTCGAAATTTTGCTGATAGAGACATTTTAAAGGTATTTATAGAGAAAAGAGATTCACATATTTTGTTCCTTTCACATTCACCACTTTTTTCAAACGCAATAATTATTTCAAACACACTAATTGAGAAATTTGATATTTAAAGTTCGTAGAACAGAAATGAGTAGAGAACATTCTTTGTTGAGTTTTGATGTGACACTACACCACTCACAATTCATTGCTTGCATTATATCTTATGTCCCTCGTATTGGATATTATTCTAACCTACGTTCACGTTCAAGGGGGTGGGAACTACCTTTCTCTTTCGCGCGATCGTTCGATGAAACAGGTATTATCTCATAGAAATTAAAACGAAATAATTAATTGCATAGATGTTATCCTTTTTGTTCTGCTCTTTATTTTTTCTTTTTTCATATACCTTTCTATTGCTACAGAAAAGATGAAAAGAGGCGATGAAATATCATAATATGATAATGTGTAAAATACTATACTACATACTATTGATTTGTCGAATGAAAAAAAAATTTAATACATTAGTTATATCATTGACATTGAATAATTGTTTAATTTTGTATAATTTAATTTTGAATAATTGTAGAATTTTTTAATCAATGTAATTTTAAGCTTTGTACGATATTAATTTTTTATTCATTTCGTTAACTAAGACATTTCTCAAACATTTTTGTCATAATAATTAGATACGTTATATTATATATGTTATATTTATATATATTTATATATAAATTTTTTTAATAATTTATTTTTTATAAATTTACATATAAATTTATATATAATAATTATATATGTTATTTCATCAATCCACTAAAAAGGATCGACAAACTTTGTAGAATTGTTAACATTTATGAAAACGCTTATTTTTAGTTATTTATTATACTAATCGAATATCAATTTCTATATTATTCGAATCTATGTTCAGCTTCGAGGTGGTAGAAACTACCTTTTTCTTTTGTGCGTTCGATCAAGTGGGTTAACAAGTATTATCTCGTAAAAGTTAAGAAATAAGAAATTATTAATTGGATAGATGTTATCCTTTACTATTCTTCTTTCTATCTTTTTTTTTTATTATTTTCTTTTTTTTTTTTATTAATACAGAAAAGAAAGAAAATTTGATCTTTATATGTCTATTTGAGATCACTCGTTATTGTTTAATAAATTTTACCTCCTTACGTAATAGGTAAAACGATTGTCTTGTCTGATCTAAAAGACAAAAGTAAAGTTGATAATTGTTGTTACGATGAGAGGATAATTGTCTATGTAATAGTACTATAACTTCAAACTGTATATAAATAATTGATTTCGGAAAACCAAATATTATTGATATTTTAAAAAATAAGCCTGATGAAAAAAAACATTAAAAATATACCTGCGATACACTGATACTGAAAGAGAGAAGAATAATTTCCGGATATGTTCAATTCCTTCATCACTCGTATAAAAGTTTTTATTCGTACATATTATCGTTATCGTTATCAAATCGAAATCAATAAGAAATTATTTCTTAAGGGAGATCTTATATTAACGTTAATTTTTGTTGTTATTAAAATAGACAACAAATAGGACCAATTAGTCTCCATTGTCATTTTATTTCATAAAAAATTTAATCGTACATTTTTATAATAATACTTTTATCGTTTGTATAATAGACAGAACGAAGGACTATTGGAATAATTTATGATCCTCTTTTTACTAAATCGTTTACTTGGATCATGATAACTATATATGTCGTTATGATACCTATCCACTAAAGAACAATATAGTTAATTACGTTTATTCTGATTTTCTAATTTATTTTTATAACGTAATTGAGAAGTAAATAATAGTACCAACCGAACAAATGTGTTTACAATTAAGATTATATAAACCAAATGTAGAATATACGGTAGAACGTTGCATCATTTGCAAAGAAAATATTTCCACCTATAAATATATCAATATTAATTCATTTATATCTTGAAATATTTCGTGAAAATATCAACCTCTTTTTTTATCTCGTAGTCCGTATTTTGTCCATAAAACGTATGAATTATTTCGTTGGTGTGTTCAGCCTAGAAAAATCATGAAATCGTTATACAAAATAAAACGATAAACCAATGCTATCCATTGTACCTCTTTCGTTGTTTTGTCACAGATGTAACTAACGACAAAAATCTTTGTTGAATATTGTAAACAGAATAATATCGTTATAATGGATTGAAAAATCATTTCGGAAATATTCTGTATTTCTTCCTGGTACAATATATACAAACAATATAACAGATATGTGTTAAGCAAAACACATATTGCCATTTCTAGGGATATCTGTATGCCGTATATATTACTAAAATTTTTCGACATTTTGTGTAATTCCAGATGAACCTGTCTAAGAAGATTAAATTTTCGCGAAGATTCTAAATGTACTTTTATCTGGTTCGTTTGGCTCACCTGATTGTTCGTAACAATGTTCTGCTTCTAGTTATTCTGAGATTCGAAACTTGCATTTGTAATTGCGCTTGACGTAATGACGGTAGAGTGGTAAATAATTTCTTGGAATCAACAGGGAGTAATCGTTCAATTGACAGAGATCCATCAGCTTCCTTGTGTTCAATTAATTCTGAAGCAATAGAAGAAATCGGTAGAATGTTAATGTCGCTGAGAAGTTCGTTTGCTCGTTGAAATTCCGATTTGATGCACCTGCGATTTTGAAAAATTTCTAATTTACAATAAAAATGAATTAATATTTTCAATATCATTACGTACCTTACAAGGGTAAAGAATTCAAAAATCAATATAAATTTGATCATGAAACTGTATATATGTTGAAATATTACGCAATAAATTACGGTAGATTTATAAATTTGCTGATCTTTTAAAATGCAATTTACAATTATTATCGTACAAGAAAGGAATAAATAAAGGATAGTGATCGTTATTTCTATTATCGTTCTTTTATAAATACTGTTGAAAGATGTCGATGAGCCTAATGTTTGAAGCGTTTTGTCGATCTCATTTATCCTTTTTGTACATAATTTCAACATCTGTGCTTTGTTCATTTTACGAAAATTATTGATTAAAATTACATTGAAAAACAGTTAATAATAATATATCATACAAATTTCTTGGACTAACCTGGCTTTGATATAATCCTATAGCAGGTATAATGATTATCAGTATATTATTAATGATATATATAAGATGAGCTATAGTTTCGTTTAAATTAAACACTTTTGTGTTATATAATCGTCTGTTATTATAATACCATGCAGTGTTATACATACAACAAAGTAACATCGAATAAAGAAAACTAAGTATTGTTCTTGAATAGCTTCGAGGATATCCAAAAATGCGGAATCCAAATATAATGCTTAGAATATAGATCGGTCGTAAGATATCATTTATGCTTTTTGATTGCTCATATTTCGTTTTGTTAATTTTAGGGATACTTCGGTCTTCTTCTTTTTTTCTAAATTTCTCAATTAAATTTTTCATGATTACTTCCTCATCTTTTCTGATCGTCGATAATTAAATCACGTTTATGTGTATAATAGATAAATTAATTTGAAAAGATCGATGACTTTATTCTTTTATTCCTGTTTTCTTTTCTTATCTTGTAAAACACGAACGTAGTCCGATGAGATGTCTTCAAAGGATATTACGGTAATGCGTTTGAGTCCCTCAAGTGTGGCGCTGTAGAATTCATTAAGTCGATAACTATTTCTATTTCGTAATGTATTATTATCTTGAATAATTCGTAGCAATGTCTAAGACGATGAAATGGAAAGTTCGATATCATTTTGTATTGTATTTCTTATTATATTATTTCTTTTTTTTTTCTTTTTTATAAAATACATATTAAATGAAAACCTTTAACATAAAAAAAGAATAACAATAGCAATAATGACAGATAGATCGTCTAGATATAATAAAATTACGTCGCATGTAGTTCACTATGATAGACAACGAAGAATGATTAAAATATATTTTGATATAATCTTACTTTTATTCGATTAGAAAAATTATCTAGTCGATCTTATGATTAATCATATTAATTATTTGAATAATTTATTCAAATGATATCTTCGAAGTTGTATTCATTTTGTAAGAAGTATTATTAAGAATTGTATTGTGCAAAATGAGAGATTAACAAGAAATAGGGTAAAAACATTTTACTAGATATTGTCTGTGTTTTAAATCCTTCTTTGTCTTTGTTTTAAATCCCTCTTTGACTTTAAGTTTTATTTTTATATACTTACTTTATATTCAAGGTCTGATCAAATTTGTTATAAATATTGAATTTCCTCACAATAAATTACAAAGAATTTACTTGTTTCATTCAAAATATGAAAGTAATATTGATCACTAAACATATGATAAATGTTAAATATTGTTAAATACATCAAAATTGATCAGGTATTAGACTCGAATAATCTTAACCATTTATAATCGATCATTATCATGATTATTAAGATGAAAACTAAGACTAATATTAGATAATACTGTTGCCAAAAATATATAGACAAATATGTATTCAATTGATCGATAGTTCTTATACAATAAAATACGATAAAGATATTTTTAAGATATTTCAAAAAGAAAACAGATTTATTAATTTTCTTTTTTTTTCTTCAGAGTTAGTAATTATTTTAAATGCACTGTTCGAAAAACTTGATATTCAAAGCTTGTAAAAAAAGGAACGAAGAGAAAACATTTGTTGTGTCGTGCGGGATGCAACTATGAGAGCGTTTCCAGATACGCGTCTCGTATCGAACCAGCGATGATAGTCGATTTACACGGAGAAAGTTTCCTCATCTTTTTCTAATAGTCAGAGTTATAGACCCACTGATCACGATAAATAAGAGCAGTAGTATTAGGCTAGGATAGCGTGGTAGATTATCAGCAAAATATCGCTCTCCGCGTTTAAATTAATGGAAAAACACGAATTCTTTTGAAGGATTCCGTGAAACTCGTGATATAAATGCGAGACAATAGATATAATATAAATTATCACAGTATATTTATCGTAGTATGATACAATTGTTTTGTGTTTTTGTGTAGTGAGTCGTAATGGCTCACTATTTCTGAGCCAGTAATATAATAAGACTCGGAGGATTAGATGTTGCGAGTTGGAAGAATGTAAGGTTGACTGCTACGATTTAGTTGATATCCTGGATATCTCCATTTGAAACATAGCAGGTGATATTGATAAGAGTTATTATCTTACTAATGAGTGCGACTGTGTATAAATTTCTCTCGAACTATCCACAAAGATATTAATGAATTAGAAAAGAAAAATGAAAAGAGAGGAATTTAAGTAAACAGTATCTGGAATGGGAAAGCAATATTCTTATTGGTAGTGAACATGTCAGAATAATTCGTTCGAAATGTTTAACCAATTTCATGCATGATCCTTCATTCTAGTAATCGTTTGGATCCAGGATTATTACATTGATATTTGAAAGATAGGTGTCCGGCTTGACACATTATCGAAAACTAAGTACTTTACTAACAATGCCTAAAATCGGACAAAGGTAGCAATGTATTTTTTATTTATTCATTTTCTTAATGATTATCCAAGGAATTCCGAGGGACAGATATATTCAATAGAGATATGTAGTTATTCAACAAGTAGGTATTAATTGTTATTGTTTTTTTTCTCTATTATTTATTTTCTCTCTCTCTCTCTCTCTCTCTTTTTTTATTTTTTATTAGACAAGGTAAAAAGGAGTCATATAAAACAAGACATCATACTTTTAACTATTCATATAAACTATACATTTATAGTTTATACTAATGTCGACTACATACCATAGATTTATCGAATAAAGGAATGTTTTAATTTATTCGTTATATTATCGATGATGAATTATAGTTCACACTGTTGAATAATATCTTACGTTTACCGTCAACTTGAATAAGAATGACGAGATATGTAGTAATCGAACCGAAATCAAAGATATATTTTCAACTTACATTGTATATAAATGTATGATCTAGATCGAATAGTCCGCAAGCGGTAAAAGTCAAACGATTTTGTATTTGTTGAAAAGTAAAATTACGAATCTGGAAGAAACAATTATAGATTTAATATATATTCCAATACTAAAAATTGACACGTATATTTTTTTATAAAATATAAATTAAATGAAAAGCTTTAGTATAAAAAAGAAATAACAATAGCAGTACTATCAAAGAAAGTATCTAAATATAAAAAGAATTACGTTGCATATAAATTATTGTTATATGCATAGGCGATGAGGAATAACTAACATGCATTTCAAAATAGCCGTCCTTTCATTCGAAAAGAAAAATCATCTATTCGATCTTATAATCAATCATATTATTTATTCATTTATTCAGATGACACTTATACTTCAAAGTCCTATTTATCTTGCAAAAAATATTATTAAAAGTTGTATTATGCAAAATGAAATTATTGAGATCAATAAGAAATTAATCATTGTAATAGATATAGTTTGTATTCTAAATCTTCCTTTATGAAAGTCTATAATATGATTGGTCTTTCTTAACAGGTATGTCTAACCTTTATATAATGTTTATTTGTTATTGATTTTGTCAAGATCACTTAAGACATTTGTATCGTAATAGATCAAATATTTTAATATCACTCCAATTAACGAAAAAAGATCCGAGGAGATAAGAGAATTATTGATAGCTTTAATAAGATCTCTTTTTTTCATTTTCTAAACTAATCGAGTAGTTTCAATTGCATTTAATATAAATCAAAAGTGCGCATGTGTATTGACAATGTGCTATATAGAGAGTGTACTTTTTACCTACGAAAGATAATTTCTATTGTGACAATTTGTTAATTACCAGAAATTTTCAAGAACGAAATGAAAGAATCTTGTATTACACAATTTATACTTTTAACATAAAACGTATAAATAACTTCATCGAATTAGTCCACCTAAAAGAGAAATTATTTTATCTATAATTATAATAATATCTATTGAAAAACTTACTTTTAAAATTGCCTTATCGCAAGTGAAATTAATAAAAATTATTTTGTGAATAATACAAAAGAAGAAATAAAAGACTCAAACCATCTAGTCCGCAAAAATGTCCTTAGTATCTTTTTAGTGTTCTTAGTTAATACACAAAAACACAGCTTAACAGTAACAATTTTTTTATTCAATATACCGATTTTTTTAATATTCCGATTAAAAGTGTGTTGAGCTCATAACTAAAGTTACAACTATCGTCTTTAACTTTAAACAAGAGAGAGAGAAAGAGAGAGAGAGAGAGAGAGAGAGAGAGAGAAGAAAATTATGAGATTGATTGCACTAGAATTTAATTGATCGAATGATTTGAGATTGTGTTCCGTATTGTGAATTCCTTGAATACTCTTCTGTGTTTTGTGTATACGGATGGCACAATGGTAACATGTTTTTTACTGGCTTTTTTTATCTGCTGGCCCAGATTCGACAGTATTTTATATTTCCACAGGTTTTCTCTCTTCTGTCGTTCGGATGGTATCTTAAGCACACTTATGCAGTAATAATCGAGCCAGACGAGCGGGAAAATTATTACTTTAAATATGAAGTTATAAATACATAGGATCTGAAGTAATGCGAATATTTATCATATATATTATTTATATATTAATTTTTTCGTCCGTCGTATATAACAAAATATATTATGACAGTATTCACATCTTTTAGCATCAATATGTGTGCTACAAAACCAGCACGTGCAGCGCAAAAGAAGTATAAACTAATTATTATAAATTTCATAGCGCTATTAAATTTCTCAGAAATGATTAGTGGTTAGTGTCGAATTATCAAAGAAAATTTGTGGTGTTGTGTTCCCAATTTGTATGAGAATAACGAGATAAGTCGTTACAGTACCGATGACCTAAAAGTAATCAATATTAGTTGTTTATAATATAAATATAAATTTAAATGTTGATTATACTAAAATTATGCGTTAAACTTACACTATGTATTAATGAATAGCCGAGATCAAAGAAGCCGTACGATGTAAATGACAATGGGTTTTGAATAAGTTGTAGAATAAAGTCATGAATCTAGAAGTATGATAAAATATTGAGATTAATTTCTAGTAAATTTGCTTTTATCAATTATTACCTCGGCACGATATTCATTGCTAGTTGATGGTTCGTACAATTCACATAGAATATCTCCGGTATTCGCCGCATGTAAACAACATAATGTAACATAATATCAATACATATTTTCATCGATATTTAGTTGAAATATGAGAAAAAAAATTACAATAAAATTAAAAAGTCATGAATACTGAAATATTATACCTCCGTTACAGTTGTTGCACATACATAACAAATTGTTATGATTTTCAATCCAAAGTAATAAATCCAATATAAGTAAATACAGAATGATTTGGGTTTCGAATGGTACTCCTTAGTTATTGAAAAATAATATAAATGGTAAGTCAAAAAAATGATAAAAATGAAAGTTGCTGGTACAAACATTAAAATATGTAAGTTATAAGCATCGTTTATATTCCTAGCACACTTGATTAATTCCAGGTGTATTTCCCTACAAAAAATGAAGAATAGAAAAAAATCAAAGAAGTCTTTTTGTATACTTTTACTATATATGTTTACCTGACTTTTTTTATTTTGATTACGTCTTCATTTGATTTATACTTTCGACGGATTTCAAATGACGGAGAATCATTCTTTCTCGTTTGAAGGACTCTTTTATGTTGAGGTGAATCGATAGTAGTCGTAAGCATACTTCTCAATAATTCATTCAATTGACTAAATTTTATCTTTATATATCTATTTTAAATTTATGCTTCGATAATTTAAATTAGAAAAAAATAGTGACGTTTTGTATGGCATACTGAAATATTTACTTGCCTGATCCAGAATACAAAAGAAAAATCGATTAATAACCACACGAAATAGGGATAACGTTCGAGGTAAAGAAAAACTAATATCCAGTATTTTGTCCTGACCAATATTAACCATTGATAATCAAATACTATCATAATTATAAATGTGAAGACCAAGAATAATATTAAATAACATTGTTGCAAAAAACATTTAGACAAATTCATTGGGATATTAAGTTGATTCATAGATCGAATACAAGTTTCTATTTGTAACATAAAACGTCTCACTTTCTGTAAAAGATAATAGAGGATAGATTAAGGTAGCAATTTGGACGAAATCGGTAAATTAAAAGGACAAAGGAATTCACCTTTCTTCTAAGTATTCCAGCGATAATGTTAACAATGTGAAACACATGGCAGCTAAAAATATATAACTGACCCGTTAATTGTATCAGTAATGGTCGTTCATTTCTAAAAACTTGCGCGGAAGACGGAAATATACTGGCAATCGAAGTGTAGAAAATAATAGAGAAGAAAACATAAACCATACCAAACACGTTAATATTATTTTCGACGAAATATTCTATCAGACCAGTGGTGAAAATCGAATTCATTATTATCAACGGCTTGATGCTATATCGAAATTCCGACGAAATCGACATTTCTAAAATATTCTTTAAGAAAATAACTTTTTTATTTCCTTTCTTTTTCGTATAAATCACTAATTATTTCAAATAAACCGTTCGATAAACTTGACGTTTGAGGTTCGCAGAAATTTAATGAATGTAGAACATTCTTTGCAGAGTTTTAATGTGATACATTAATTCCGTTACTACATTCGGGTTAGGAGAGTTGGAAACTAAAGTGTTACTTTACGCGATAATTCAATAAATTAAATTACAGGTATTATCTTTTCACATTACCATAGAAATTAATAAGAAATTATTCATTACGCAGATGTTATCATTTCATATTCATCTTTCTATTATTTCTTTTTTCGTTTCTTTTCTTTATTGACCCAAAAAGATGGAAGGTGTGAGGTAAAACAAAATATAATACTCATTAAAATAATATCGACTACGTGCCATGTATTTTTCGCCTAAAGAAACATATTTCTTCATTCCTTATTTTATGGACGTTGAATTATAGTCTGTATCGTTGGAGAATACTTTTGGTTTATCTCCCATTTGTATAAGAATAACGAGATAAGTAGTAATCGAACCAATTGCCTATAATATGCACAATAATACCAAAATTCTCATAAAATGAAAAATATAAAAAACCAAAGGCATTTCCGCATTTTCAACTTACACTATATAAAAATGAATGACCTAAATCGTAAAATCCACATGCAGTGAAAGTCAGACGATTTTGGATTAATTGAAAAGTAAAATTACGAATCTGAAACAAATAATTATACATTTAGTATATACTGTAATTTGATATTACACACTGACAGGCATTGTCTCTTACTTCATCGCGAAACGTCTTGCTGGTTGAAGGTTCGTATAATTCGCAAAGAATGTCTCCAGTGGCCATGACATATAGAAAAATAAATAAAATCAGTGTGTAATTCTATGAAATTCTCTTTAAAAGTTGTATATTTTGCAAATATTAAATATAGGATTAAATAAAAAAGAAAGAAAGAATAATTTGTAAAAGACACATACTTCTGTCATCGATGTCTCGCATATATTGCTTATTACAAAAATCTGAATGATGAAATAAAAAATCCAACAGAAACTTTTTAAAAATTCTCTTATCCATGATTCATATCCGTTTGAAATTAATCTGCCGTATAAACTGTGTAATATTAGAGTAATATATAATACTGATATAGCCGTGGATATAAGAATGTGTAATCCGTAAGCCTCACTTATAGTTCTGCCACATTTTATCAATTCTAAATGGATTTGTCTATAATAAAAAGAATAAAGTGAAAATTGTTAAAAGTCGAAAAAGAATAATTAATCGTTTCGGGTTTATTATCTATAACTTACTTAACTTCTTTTAATTTCACGAAGTTCTCATTCGTTTTGTACGTTCCACAAATGGTAGTTAACGAAGATTCATCTTCCCAATTATCTTTCATTCGAAGGACTCTCTTGTGTTGTGGTGAATCAGCAGTTGTTGTCAACATATTTAGGAGTGCTGCATTCAATTGACCAAATTTGATCTTTACGTACCTGCATAAGATCATTCGTTAAATTTAGTAACATTAAGTTCTTCTTTTACAAAATAAAAAGATTGACTTACCTGATCCAAAAGACGAAAGTAAAATTAATGACCATCATTACAATGTAAGAATAATTGTCGAAATAATAGAATTGTAACATTAAACTGTTGCCAAATGATAAATTGACGTCGGAGTACCAATACATGTCGTCAATAATTAAGCTTGATATAAGAAAAATAACAAATATGCCTGCGATACACTGATACCGAATAAGAGAGGAATAATTTTTCGGTATGTTCAGTTCATCAATTCTTTGTGTACAAGTTTCTAGCTGTTTTATAAACAATTTTACCCGCTGTGAAAATCAATTTACCCAATTGTTCAACTGTCTTTTTATTTACAATATATTAGTCTTAATAATAGAAAAATCACTTAATGAAAAACTTATCGATTAATAGAAGACATTTTACCTCTGTTCTTATTAATCCAACGAAAATTGTTATGATGTAGAGAAGAGGGTTTCCAATGAATGTAATTGCCGATATTATTCTTGCAAGATTTGACGGTTGAGCGTTCTTAAAAATATCAACCGTATTCATAAACGTACAAGATAAGGTAATGTAGTAAACTAAACAACATATGATATAAACAAAACCAATCGTACGTATCGTTCGATTAACGAAGTATTCTAATAAGCCAGTGCAAACGATTGAATTCGCGATAATCAATGGCAATACTGAACGTTGAAATTTATTTGGTCGAAACATTTAAAATGTTTTTTTAATTTTCTTATTAAATATATCACTTTTCACTTTCAAAATATACTTCATAGTTACTTTTCTTAGAATATCAAACTCTTTCTTGCTGCTGTTTTAAAATGATACTAATTCCTACAATTGCTTTTCTGTTCTTTTTATTATCGAACTGTTTTCGTAATAAATATTATCGTAACTTGTATTTAGCTTGGAATTAAAACTGTCATTTTCATACTTCCATCTTGTCAAATTCGTCCTTGCCTCTTTGATAAATGGAATACATACATATTCATATACTTTACCTCCTTATCAATCAATGAAAATCAATAAGATATTTTTCTTCTGTGGTACATTACCTAGGTTTTAATTTTTATTGCCAGTAATGATCAAATGAAAATATTCGTTCTCCTTTTGCCATATTATTTCATATAAAAAACCTGTCATAAATTTTTTTTATTTATTATTAAAACTTTATTACATTTAAACTTTATTACAATTATTTAAAACTTTATAACATTTAAAAATAAAAAATTTTTTGAAAATTTTCACAAATTATTGTTAACATTTTATAATAACACTTTTATAATTTCTGCCATAGATAGAACAAAAGTCCAACCTAGTTATAGATGAATCTTACTTCATTGAATCATTTGTAATTAATATTATATAAACTGAATGTGAAAAATGCGAATAATTTCACTGCATTTCTGCAACTAGCAAATGAGGTACTCTATCTATTATTACAGTTCTGTTTATCCAAATTCTTACATTCTGGGTCGTTTCGAAATATAATTTATAGAAAAAAAATTATTTTGAAAATACCACCAAAGAAGAAATAAAAGATTCAAGCTACAAAGATTGTGAAAGTGTCCTGAGTATATTACCAATGTTTTTCGTTAATACACAGACACAGAATTTATTCAATATTCGGATTAGTGTCTATTATATTATTACATTTCTAGAAAGTTTGATTCTCTTTCTTTGGATCTACCCTTCGGATCTACATAGCACACATAATATTTATAATTTTTAGTAATAATATATGAGGTATAAAGAATGTGCAAGCGTTCTGCAAAAAAAAAATAAACAGACCACTATTTAAATAATATAAAGATTACTAAGATATTTCGACTCTGCAGACTCTTAGATTAATATGAAGATAACATAGATCTCAAATTTCTCTCGAATCATTAGACGATAACGTTAAATTATTAATGGAAAATTCTGTTGGTACGTTTCCAACTTGAATGAGAATAACAAGGTATGTTGTGACAGTACCAATGATCTAAAAATAATTCATGTTAATCGATTATAATGTAAAAATAAATTTAAAAATCAATTATAAAAATTATGCGTTTGACATACAGTACGTATCAATGTATAATCCAGATCAACTAGGCCATATATTGTAAATGAAAGTGGATTTTGGATAAGTTGTAGGGTAAAGTCACGGATCTAGAAGTATCATAAAATATTGATAATAATTTGTAGTACATTAATTTTCATCAATATTACCTCGGCACGATATTCATTGCTGGTTGATGGTTCGTACAATTCACATAGAATATCTCCGGTGTTCGTCGCATGTAAAGAAATATGATACAACATATATCAATACCTGTTTTGTTCAATATATCATTGGAATATGAGAAAAAAATTTATAACAAAAAAAACGAACAATGAATATTTAAAAAACATACCTCCGTTACAGTTTCTGCACATACGTGACTTATAATGATGATCTTGATTCCAAAGTAAAAAATCCAAAATAAATAAATAAAGAAATTTAATTTATTCGTACGGTACGCATTAGTTAATAAGTAGTAATATATATGGTAAGCTGTAGTAGTGATTAAAAAGAAAGCTGTTGATATAGAGAATAATATATGTAAGGCGTAGGCATCGTTTATATTCCTAGCACACTTGATTAATTCCAAATGTATCTCCCTGCGATAAGAAAAAAATATAAAAATTGACAGAAATTTTTTATAAATTGTAGTACATAATAATAATTACTTGACTTTTTTAATAGTGATAACATCTTTGCTCGGTTTATCCGTTCGATGAATAATGGATAATGGAGAATTACTGTTCCTGTTCCTCATCCAAAGTACTCTTTTATGTTGTGGGGAATCGATGGTAGTTGAAAGCATACCTTTCAGTATTTCGTTTAATTGAACACATTTCATTTTTATATTCCTATTATTGGTTTAAGGATCGTTAAAATTTCTTAAATGTTAACTTTGTTATAATAAATAATAAACATTATACTTGCCTTATCCAAAATGCGAAAGTAACATCACTTATTAACAATGTGATAATGGGATAAATTTCGAGATAGAAAAAACTAAAAATTATTGTGGGATTAATTCCGAATATTTTTATCCAATTATAATCGGCTATTATCACAGTTATTAAGATGAAGATCAAATATAACATTATATAACATTGCTGTAAAAAATACTTTGACAAATTCATCGGTATATTCAGTTGCTGCATAGTTCGAGTACAAATTTCCATTTGCAATATAAAACGTCTAACTTTCTGCAAAAAATATTGGGATTGTCATAAAGTAGAAATCTTAATAAATTGAGTAAATTAGAAGAAAGAACTAAGTTACCTTTCTTCTGATAAATCCATTGATAATGGTTGTCACGTATGTCACGCAACCGTTGTAAACATAAAATTGATACATAAGCTGTAGGAGAAGTGATTGTTTAAAGACAGCAGTAAATACAAAATACTTAGAAAATACAAAGGACATGGAAACATAAAAAATGATAGAGAAGAAGGCATAAACCATGCCAATCGCATTGATCTTATCACAGACGAAATATTCTATCAGACCAGTGGTAAAAATCGAATTCATTATTATCAACGGTTTGATGCTACGTCGAAATTCAGCCGGGAGAGACATTTTAAAAGTATTCTTCGAGAAAACAGCTGTATTTATTTTCTTCCTTTTTCTCAAAAAGCACTCATTATATCAATACAAATTGAAAAACTTGGTATGCCAAACTAGTAGAAAAAGAAAAGAATGTAGAACATTCTCTGTGAAATTTTGATGCGAGACTATGACTATTAAGATTATATCATATACTTTATTCTGACCTACATTCGCTGGAGGTAGTAACTCTTCTTTTCCATGTGTGCGTTTGTTCGATTAAACCCACTTATAAATATTACCTTTTGATCACAAGGAAATTAATTTATTAAAATTTTATCTTTGTTGCCTTTTCCTATCCTTTAGTATTTTTCGTTTTATTTTCTTCTTTTAGTGATATATAGAATGTAAAGTCCATTTTATAAAAAAAAGTATAATATTGCTTAATTTTAATTGCCAACCATGTACGATATATTTATCGAATGAAGAATAATTTTTACTCATTATTTATGTCATGGACGTTAAAATATTTTTTATATTAAGTATATTGATTACATTAGATTTATCTCAGAGTTGAATCAGAATAACACGAAAAGGTAGTATTCGAATCGATCATGTAGAATATGCACAGGAATATTAAATTATCATATAATTAAAGATAATAGAAATCTTTGATTTTATTTTCAATTTACATTATATAGAAACGTATGATTATAATTGTAAAATCCGTTGGAGATAAACATCAATCGATTTTGGATTAATTGAAACATAAATCACGAACCTGAAGGAAACAATTATACTTTTTATATTTTTTGTATGCATTCCGTAAAAATAAAAATTGTTTTTGACTTTATCGAGAAATTTCCGGTTGGTCGAAGTTTCCTAGAATTCGTAAAGAATATCTCCAGTATTTGCGGTATATAACAAAATAAAGAAAAATTAATATGTGCTTTAATTAATGTCTTTCAATATTGCAACGAATTGTACGTTTTGTAAATATCGGATACATGATTAAACAAGAAAGAGAAACAATATATATTGTAAAAAATATCATATTTCTGTTATTTGTCATATGTTGTTTATTGTGAAAATATTGACAGTTAATATTTGAAGTATTCACTTATCTTGTAGAGAATCGATAGTTATTGTTAGCATGTTTTGGAGGGCGGCATTTAATTGATCATATAAGATTTTCATATATCTATTAAAGATCATTCATTATGAATTAGCTAATATTGATTTCATTCTATAATAAATAAAACAATTGGTTTTCCTGATCTAAAATATAATTGTAAAGTAATTGATCGTTACGGCGATTGGCAAAGTTTCGTAGAAATAGTATTGTAATATCCAACTATATTCTAACGATAAGTTACAATAAGAGTAACAAAAAATCATTGATAGTAATGAAGATTGATATCACAATAATCATAATTATGCATGCCTTATACTGGTATCGAAAAAGAGAAGAATAATTTTTCGGTAGATCAGGTTTATTAATTCTTTGTTCACAAATTTCGAATTGTCCTATAAACAGTTGTATCCTCTGTAAAATGGAATTAATTTATCGTACTGTACAAAATATATCACTCTTAATAATTCAACAACCATTCAAAGTAAAAAATTGTCAATTAATCATAACATTTTTATCTCTCATCTAGTTAAACTAACGAAAATTATTATGATATAAATAAAAAATTATTTTTGATATAATTAGGACAAAGGATTGCCGTAGTGATTCATGATCCTTACTTTATTGAATTGCTTACTCGCTTTATGATAATCATGTATGTTATGTCAGTATGATCCACATACACTACAGAATAAATTATCAATTATGATTTTCTTTATTCTATACTTTTCTTAAAACGTATATGTTTTTATAACGTATTTCTTATATTATTCATACGTAAAACATTATTCATATCGAGTAACTTTGTTTGCAATTGTTATATTATAATAAGAACCGAATCCGGGAAATGAGAATAATTCCACTAAATTCCTATAATTAAAAAATTAGTTACCCTATCTATTATTACAATTCTATACACTCAAAATTTTGAGTCGTTTCGAAATGTAATTGAAAAAAATTACTCTGAAAATATCTCCAAAGAATAAATAAAAGATTCAAGCTACTAAGATTATGAAAGTGTCCTGAGTATATTTCCAATGCTTTTCGTTAATACACAGATATGGAATTTATTTAATATTCCGATTAATATCTATTTAATTATTGTATATCTAGAAAGTTTGCTTCGCTTTTTTCGGATGAATTCCACATATAGCACACATAATATTCATTTTACCAATAATAATGTAGCTATAAAGCATGTGCAAGCATGTAAAGAAAATATAAACTGGCCACTATTTAAATGCTATAAAGATTACTACGATTTTCCGACTCTACAAACTTCTAGATTTATATGAAGATAACATAGATCTTAAATTTCTTTCGAATCATTAGTTGATAACGTTGAATTTGTAGTGGAAAATTCTTGTGGTACGTCTCCTACTTGAATGAGAATAACAAGGTATGTTGTGATAGTACCAATGATCTAAAAATAATTCATGTTAATCGATTATAATGTAAAAATAAATTTAAAAAACAATTATAAAAATTATGCGTTTGACATACAGTACGAATCAATGTATAATCCAAATCAACAAGGCCATATATTGTAAATGACAGTGGATTTTGGATAAGTTGTACAGTAAAGTCATGGATCTAGAAGTATCATAAAATATTGATAATAATTTGTAGTACATTAATTTTCATCAATATTACCTCGGCACGATATTCATTGTTAGTTGATGGTTCGTACAATTCACATAGAATATCTCCGGTGTTCGTCGCATGTAAAGAAATATGATACAACATATATCAATACCTGTTTTGTTCAATATATCGTTGGAATATGAGAAAAAAATTTATAACAAAAGAAACAAACAATGAATATTTAAAAAACATACCTCCGTTACAGTTTCTGCACATACGTGACTTATAATGATGATCTTGATTCCAAAATAAAAAATCCAAAATAAATAAGTAAAGGAATTTAAAGGTTCTGTACTGTACGAATTAGTTAATAAGTAATAATACACATAGTAAGCTGTAATAGTGATGAAAACGAAAACTAGTGATATAGAGAATAAAATGTGTAAGGAGTACGCATCGTTTATATTCCTAGCACACTTGATTAATTCCAAATGTATCTCCCTGCGATAAGAAAAAAATATAAAAATTGACAGAAATTTTTTATAAATTGTAGTACATAATAATAATTACTTGGCATTTTTAATAGTGATAACATCTTTGCTCGGATTATCCGTTTGATGAATAGTAGATAATGGCGAATTACTGTTCTTGTTCCTCATCCAAAGTATTCTTTTATGTTGCGGGGAATCGATGGTAGTGGTAAGCATACCTTTCAGTAGTTCGTTCAATTGAATAAATTTTGTTTTTATAATCCTATTTGTGGTTTAGAGATCGATAAAATTTCGTAAATGTTAACTTATTTATGATAAATAATAAACTTTATACTTGCCTTATCCAAAATGCGAAAGTAACATCGGGTATTAACCATGTGATAAAGGGATAAATTTCGAGATAGAAAAAACCAAAAATTAGTGCGGGATTAATTCCCAATAATTTTATCCATCTATAATCCATTATTATTATCGCAATTAAGATGAAGACCAAAAATAAAATTATATAATATTGCTGTAAAAAATGCTTTGACAAATTCATCGGTATATTCAGTTGATGCATATTTCGAATACAAGTTTCCATTTGCAATATGAAACGTCTAACTTTCTGCAAAAAAATATTGGGATTGTCATAAAGTAGAAATTTTAATGAATTGAGTAAATTGGAAGATCGAACTAAGTTACTTTTCTTCTGATAAATCCAATGATAATGGTTGCTACGTATGTCACGTAACCGTTGTAAACATAAAATAGATACATAAGCTGTAAGAGAAGCGATTGTTTAAAGACTGCAGCATGTACAAAAAAATTAGAAAATACAAAGGACATGGAAACGTAAAAAATGATAGAGAAGAAGGCATAAAACATGCCAATCGCGTTGATCTTATCACAGACGAAATATTCTATCAGACCAGTGGAAAAAATCGAATTAATTATTATCAACGGTTTGATGCTGCGTCGAAATTCAGCCGAGAAGGACATTTCTAAAGTATTCTTCGAGAAAACAGCTGTATTTATTTTCTTCCTTTCCCCAAAAAGCACTAATTATATCAATACAGATTGAAAAACTTGGTATACTAAGCTTTTAGAAAAGAAAAAAATGTAGAACTTTCTCCGTGAAATTGTGATGCGACACTATGACCATTTGGATTTTATCATATTGCGTTCATTCTTTATTCTGACCTACATTCGCCAATGGTAGTAACTTTTCTTTTCCATGTGTGATTGTTCGATTAAATCTACTTATAGATATTACTACTTTCAAATTATTGATTTTCTTTTGATTATAAGGACAGTAATTTATTAAATTGTTATCTATGTTATGTTTTTCTATCCTTCAATATTTTTCGTTTTATTTTCTTGTTTCAATGGTACATAAAAGGTAAAATCCATTTTATAAAACAAAATATAATATTGTTTAATTTTAATTGTCAGTTATGTATGATATATTTATGGAATGAAGAATAATTTTTATTTATTATTTACATCGTGAACGTTGACATTTTCTTTATATTATGTGTATTGAATGCATTATCATTATGTCCGACTTAATTCAAAATAACAATAAAGGTAGTAATCGATCCAACCATGTAGAACATGCAAAGGGATATTAAATTATCATAAAATTAAATATAATAAAAATCTTTGATTGTATTTTCAATTTACATTATACAGAAACGAATGATTTAGAACGTAGAATCAGCTGGAGGTCAACATCAATCGATTTTGGATTAATTGAAACCTAAATCACGAATATGAAAGAAATAATTTGAGATTTTATATATTTTGTAAGCATTCCAATACCAAAAATTGTTAAAAATTGTTCTTTATTTTATCGCGGAATTTATAGTTGGTTGATATTTCGTAGAATTAATAAAGAATGTCTCCATTGTTCGCCGTGTAGAACAAAATAAGGAAAATTAATATGTGCGTCAATTATCATATTTAAAGTTTGCAATGAATTGTACGTTTTGTAAATGTCTGATACACAATTAAACAAGAAAGAAATAGAATATATATTGTTAAAATTAACATACTTCTGTTATCGTTGTCTGCTATATGTTGTTTACTGCGTAAGTATTGATAGTAAAACAAAAAATCCAATAGATTTTGCACAAGTATCTTTTATCTAATTGTCATATTTGTTCGTAATTCTTATAGCATATAGGTTGTATATGAATATAATGACAATCAATACAGATGTAGAAATGGATAAAACAATTTGTAATGCATAAGTCATGTATATAATTGCAACATAATTTATCAATTTCAAATGAATATATCTTTAATAAGAAGAATAAGAAAAAGTTGTTTAAAAATCGATGAAGAATAATAAATAATTTTGGGCTAATTATTAATAACTTACTTGACATTGTTCAATTTCATATAGTTCTCAGTTGTTTTATATGTTCAATAAATAGTAGATAATGAAGTCATTTTTAGAGTTATTTCTTTGAAGTTTTCACTTGCCTTGTGAAAAATCGATAGTTATTGTTAGCATGTTTTGGAAGGCAGCATTTAATTGACCAAATAAGATTTTTATATATCTACTAAAGATTATTCGTTATAAATTAGCTAATAGTTATTTCATTCGGTAATGAATAAAATAATTAACTTTCTTGATGTAAAATATAATTGTGAATCAAGTGATCATCATTATGAAAAAATCAATAAGAATTTATCTGTTTTACGGTACATTATCTAGTCGTTAGTTTTCATCGTTAGTAATCAATAAATGAGAATATTTATTCTACTTTGGCCATATTATTTCATATAAAAAATTTCTCATATAAATTTATAAATTATTATTGAAAATTACATTCTTTAATTGAATATCTCTCGTAAATCTTTACAATTTATTATTAATATTTTATAATATCACTTTTATGATTTCTACAATAGATAAAAAAAAGTCCACCATACTTATTCATGATCCTAACTTTATTGTATCGCGCACAAACATTATGATAATCATGTATGTATGATGTACATACACTACAGAATAAATCGTCAATTATGATTTTCGTTATTCTATAATTTTTTATAACATTTCTTACGTTATTCATACGTAAATAATTGTACATATCGAGCAACTTTGTTTTTAATCATTATGATATAATCCGAATCCGGGAAATGAGAATAATTCCACTAAATTTCTATAACCAAAAAATAAGTTACTCTATTTATAATTACAATTCACCCAAAATTTTGTGTCGTTTCGAAATGTAATTGAAAAAAACTACTTTGAAAATATGTTCAAAGAAAAAATAAGATTCAAGTTATTAAGATTGTGAAAGGGTCCTGAGTATATTTCCAATGCATTTTGTTAATACACAGATATGGAATTTATTCAATATTCCGATTAACATCTATTTAATTATTATATATCTAGAAAGTTTGCTTCGCTTTTTTCGGATGAACTAACATAGCAAACATAATATTCATTTTACCAATAATAATAAAACTATAAAGCATGTGCAAGCTTACAAAGAAAATATAAAATGGCCACTATTTAAATGCTATAAAGATTACTACGATTTTCGGAATCTGCAGACTTCTATATTTATATGAAGATAACATTGATCTTAAATTTCTTTCGAATCATTAGTTGATAACGTTGAATTTGTAGTGGAAAATTCTGGTGGTACGTTTCCAACTTGAAGGAGAATAACAAGGTATATTGTGACAGTACCGATGACCTAAAAATTATTTATTTTAATCGTCTATAATAAAAAAATAAGTTTAAAAATCAATAATAAAAATTATGCGTTTGACATACAGTACGAATCAATGTATAATCCAGATCAACAAGGCCATATATTGTAAATGACAGTGGATTTTGGATAAGTTGTAGAGTAAAGTCATGGATCTAGAAGTATCATAAAATATTGATAATAATTTGTAGTACATTAGTTTTCATCAATTATTACCTCGGCACGATATTCATTGCTGGTTGATGGTTCGTACAATTCACATAGAATATCTCCGGTGTTCGTCGCATGTAAAGAAATATTATTCAATATATATCAATACCTATTTTGTTCAATATATCGTTGGAATATGAGAAAAAAATTTATAACAAAAGAAACAAACAATGAATACTTAAAAAACATACCTCCGTTACAGTTTCTGCACATATGTGACTTACAATGATGATCTTGATACCGAAGTAAAAAAACCAAAATAAATAAGTACAGGAATTTAGAGGGTGCGTACGGTACGAATTAGTTAATAAGTAATAATACACATGGTAAGCTGTAATAGTGATTAAAACAAAAACTAGTGATATAGAGAATAAAATGTGTAAGGCGTACGCATCGTTTATATTCCTAGCACACTTGATTAATTCCAAATGTATCGCCCTGCGATTAGAAAAAAATATAAAAATTGTAAAAAATTTTTTTTAAACTTGTGGTACATAATGGTAATTACTTGGCATTTTTAATAGTGATAACATCTTTGCTCGGATTATCCGTTTGATGAATAGTAGATAATGGCGAATTACTGTTCTTGTTCCTCATCCAAAGTATTCTTTTATGTTGCGGGGAATCGATGGTAGTGGTAAGCATACCTTTCAGTAGTTCGTTCAATTGAATAAATTTTGTTTTTATAATCCTATTTGTGGTTTAGAGATCGATAAAATTTCGTAAATGTTAACTTATTTATGATAAATAATAAACTTTATACTTGCCTTATCCAAAATGCGAAAGTAACATCGGGTATTAACCATGTGATAAAGGGATAAATTTCGAGATAGAAAAAACCAAAAATTAGTGCGGGATTAATTCCCAATAATTTTATCCATCTATAATCCATTATTATTATCGCAATTAAGATGAAGACCAAAAATAAAATTATATAATATTGCTGTAAAAAATGCTTTGACAAATTCATCGGTATATTCAGTTGATGCATATTTCGAATACAAGTTTCCATTTGCAATATGAAACGTCTAACTTTCTGCAAAAAAATATTGGGATTGTCATAAAGTAGAAATTTTAATGAATTGAGTAAATTGGAAGATCGAACTAAGTTACTTTTCTTCTGATAAATCCAATGATAATGGTTGCTACGTATGTCACGTAACCGTTGTAAACATAAAATAGATACATAAGCTGTAAGAGAAGCGATTGTTTAAAGACTGCAGCATGTACAAAAAAATTAGAAAATACAAAGGACATGGAAACGTAAAAAATGATAGAGAAGAAGGCATAAAACATGCCAATCGCGTTGATCTTATCACAGACGAAATATTCTATCAGACCAGTGGAAAAAATCGAATTAATTATTATCAACGGTTTGATGCTGCGTCGAAATTCAGCCGAGAAGGACATTTCTAAAGTATTCTTCGAGAAAACAGCTGTATTTATTTTCTTCCTTTCCCCAAAAAGCACTAATTATATCAATACAGATTGAAAAACTTGGTATACTAAGCTTTTAGAAAAGAAAAAAATGTAGAACTTTCTCCGTGAAATTGTGATGCGACACTATGACCATTTGGATTTTATCATATTGCGTTCATTCTTTATTCTGACCTACATTCGCCAATGGTAGTAACTTTTCTTTTCCATGTGTGATTGTTCGATTAAATCTACTTATAGATATTACTACTTTCAAATTATTGATTTTCTTTTGATTATAAGGACAGTAATTTATTAAATTGTTATCTATGTTATGTTTTTCTATCCTTCAATATTTTTCGTTTTATTTTCTTGTTTCAATGGTACATAAAAGGTAAAATCCATTTTATAAAACAAAATATAATATTGTTTAATTTTAATTGTCAGTTATGTATGATATATTTATGGAATGAAGAATAATTTTTATTTATTATTTACATCGTGAACGTTGACATTTTCTTTATATTATGTGTATTGAATGCATTATCATTATGTCCGACTTAATTCAAAATAACAATAAAGGTAGTAATCGATCCAACCATGTAGAACATGCAAAGGGATATTAAATTATCATAAAATTAAATATAATAAAAATCTTTGATTGTATTTTCAATTTACATTATACAGAAACGAATGATTTAGAACGTAGAATCAGCTGGAGGTCAACATCAATCGATTTTGGATTAATTGAAACCTAAATCACGAATATGAAAGAAATAATTTGAGATTTTATATATTTTGTAAGCATTCCAATACCAAAAATTGTTAAAAATTGTTCTTTATTTTATCGCGGAATTTCTAGTTGGTTGATATTTCGTAGAATTAATAAAGAATGTCTCCATTGTTCGACGTGTAGAACAAAATAAGGAATATTAATATGTGCGTCAATTATCATATTTAAAGTTTGCAATGAATTGTACGTTTTGTAAATATCTGATACATGATTAAACAAGGAAGAAATAAAACATATAAGTTGATCAAATAAGATTTTCATATATCTACTAAAGATCATTCATTATGAATTAGCTAATATTGATTTCATTCTGTAATAAATAAAACAATTGATTTTCCTGATCTAAAATATAATTGTAAAGCAATTGATCGTTACGGCGATTGGCAAAGTTTCGTAGTAATAGTATTGTAATATCCAACTGTATTCTAACGATAAGTTACAATAAGAGAACAAAAAATCATTGATAGTAATGAAGATTGATATCACAATAATCATAATTATGCATGCCTTATACAGGTATCGAAAAAGAGAAGAATAATTTTTCGGTAGATCAGGTTTATTAATTCTTTGTTCACAAATTTCGAATTGTCCTATAAACAGTTGTATCCTCTGTAAAATGGAATTAATTTATCGTACTGTACAAAATATATCACTCTTAATAATTCAACAACCATTCAAAGTAAAAAATTGTCAATTAATCATAACATTTTTATCTCTCATCTAATTAAACCAACGAAAATTATTATGATATAAACAAAAAATTATTTTTGATATAATTAGGACAAAGGATTGCCGTAGTGATTCATGATCCTTACTTTATTGAATTGGTTACTCGCATTATGATAGTCATGTATGTTATGTCAGTATAATTCACATACACTACAGAATAAATCATTAATTATGATTGTCGTTATTCTACAATATTTCTATAATATTTCTTATGTTATTCACACGTAAATAATTGTACATATCGTACAATTTTATTTGAAATTATTGTAATATCACCTGAATGCGGGAATAGCGAATAATTTCACTGATTTTCTACAACTACGAAATAAATTATCGTATCTATAATTACAATTCTACCTATTGGAAATCTTACATTCTGATTCGTTTCGAAATGTAATTCATAAAAATTACTTTGAAGATATCACCAAAGAAAAAACAAAAGATTTAAACGAAATAGTTTGTGAAAGTGTTCTTAATATATTTCCAATGGTTTTCGTTAATATTCAGAAATATATTTTATTTCGATTAATGTCCGTTGAATTGATGCATATCTAGCAAGTTTGGCTTGCATTTTTCGGATGCGTCCCAAACATTTCAAACATAATATTCATATTTCTTAGCAATAATATGTGAACTATAAAAACATATACAAGCGTGCTGCGAAAGGTATAAACAGGCCACTATTTGAATGCTATAAAGATTACTCAGATTTTTGGATCTTGTAGACTCCTAGATTAATATGATGATAACGTTGATGTTAAATTTCTTATTAATCATTGGTCGATAATGTCGTATTTTTAACAAAAACGTCATATGGTACTTTTCCAACTTGAATTAAAATAACGAGGTAACTAGCGACGATACCGATGATCTAAAAATAATCCATATTAGTCATTCAATAAAATATAAATATAAATTTATAAATCGATAATAAAAATTATGCGTTTGACATACATTACGTATCAATGTATAGTCCAGATCAAAAAAGCCAAAGGTTGTAAATGACAATGAGTTTTGAATAAGTTGTAGAATAAAGTTATGAATCTAGAAGTATTATAAAATATTGATAGTAATTCGTAATAAATTCAATTTCATTACTTATTACCTCAGCACAAAATTCTTTGCTGATTGATGGTTCGTTCATTTCACAAAGGATATCTCCGGTATTTGCCGCATGTAAACAAATAAAATATAATATCAATAATTACGTTGAAATATGAGAAAATAAATTTTATAACAAAAGAAAAAACAATTAATACTTAAAAGAAAAAAACAATTAATGCTTAAATAACATACCTCCGTTACAGTTCCTGCACATACGTGACTTACAAAAGTGATCTTCAATCCGTATAAAGAAATCCAAAATAAATGAATAAAGAATTGAAGGGATTGCGGATGATAGGTTTTAGTTAATAAACAGTAATAAGTATTGTAAGTTGTAGTAATGATCAAAATGGTAGCTGTCGATATTGAAAATAAAATATGTAAGCTGTACGCATTGTTTATATTCCTAGCACACTTGTTTAATTCCAAATGTATCTCCCTACGATAAAAAAAAAAAAAAAATATAAAAAAAATAAGAGAAATTTTTTGATAAAATTATAATATATAATAATAATTACTTGGCTTTTTTAATAGTGATAATGTTTTGGTTCCATTTATCCGTTCGATGAATATCAGATAATGGAGAATTATGTTTCCTATTCCTCATCCGAAGAACTCTTTTATGTTGCGGGGAATGGATAGTAGTTGTAAGCATACCTTTCAGTAGTTCGTTCAGTTGACTTAATTTAATCTTTATATTCCTATTTTTGATTGATGGATCGTCAAAATTTCTTAAATATTAACTTTATTATGATAAATAATAAACTTTTTACTTGCCATATCCAAAATCCGAAAGTAACATCGGTCAATAACCATATGACAGGAGGATAATTTATGAGGAAAAAGAAGAGAAAAATTGTCTGGTAATTAGTTCCAAATGACATTGACCAGTGGTAATTGAAAATTATTACAATTATTGACATCAAAACTAAGAGTAACATTATATAACATTGCTGTAAAAAATGCTTTGACAAATTCATCGGTATATTCAGTTGACGCATAGTTTGAATACAAGTTTCTATTTGCAATGTGAATCGTCTCACTTTCTGCAAAAAAATATTGAGGTTGTCATAAAGTAGAAATCTCAATGAATTGAATAAATTAGAAGAATAAAAACTTTCACCTTACGTCTGAGAAATCCAGCGATAATGATGACAAAGTGAACCACGTAACCATTATAAATGCAAATTAGATACATAAATTGTGAAAGGAAGAGTTCTTTATTTATATTAATTTCCATGAGAAACGAAAATTTGTAGATTATCGAAATGTACAAAATAATAGAGAAGAAAACATAAACCATGCCTATAGTATTGATCTTATCACAAACAAAATATTCTATCAGGCCAGTGGTAAAAATTGAATTCATTATTATCAACGGTTTGATGCTACGTCGAAATTCAGTCGAAAGAGACATTTCTAAAGTATTCTTCGTGAAAACAGCTCTATTTATTTTCTTCCTTTTCCTTCAAAAAAGCACTAATTATTTTTAATGGACTGTTCGAGTTCAACTTATTATCTGAAGTTTGAATGCGAAACATTCTCTGTAGAGTTTTCATGTAACACTATGACCGCATAAAACTCATTGCTTGCATTATATAATATTACGTTCGTATTGAATATTATTCTGACCTACGTTCGCGTTCAAAAATATGGGAAATTCTATTTTCTTTTATGCTATTATTCGATGAAATCCACTTACAGTTATTATCTTCTTAATGTTTAGAAATTAATAAAAAATTATTCATTACGCAGATGTCATCTTTTCCTGTTCTCTAGTTTTTTGTGTTTTTTTTTTTCTTTCTTTTATTGATGTATAGAATTTAAATGACATCAAGTAAAACAAAACATAATACTGCATAAATTTGTACTAACTATGTGCTATACATTCATCGACTAAATAAACATTTTAATTCATTGACTATATCGTCGGCGTTGAATTATAATTCGTATTGTTCGACAATACTTTCGGTATGTCTCCAACTTGAATAAGAATAATAAGATAGGTAGCAATCGAACCGATCATCTAGAACATACATAGAAATCTTAAATTACTGTAAAATTAAAGATAATAGAAATTATTGATGATATTTTTAACTTACACTGTATATAAACGTATGATCTAGATCGTAAAATCTGCAGGCAGTGAATTTCAATTGATTCTGGATTAATTGAAACATAAAATCACGAATCTGCAACAATTAGATTTTATAGA